AGAACAATTAAGAAAGATTGCAGGCGAATATGAAGATCAGATAGGAGAAAGGGTTGTGGCAGATTGGCAGATCATCACACTGAGGTGAATTCGGGAGCGCGGCTGAGCGGCGAGGAACGCGTCGACTGCGTGGAGTACTGTGGTGGTGATCTGCAAGCTACTTCCGTTATTGTCATATCAGCCTAATAGATGATTTTTTTCTGCATCTTTCCCTATAATGTATATTCTCATTGTTGCTGATTTGTGTTTTTCACTTTTTACTTCGTACCACAAACGTGTTCATAGCTAATTTTCGACAGCCGTGTGGTTGAAATGGACCAAGTCATCCACGGTTTTCTTTGAAACCACTGTTCTGAACTGAAACATTAGCTTGTTTCGGCTTGAGCAACTATAACCTTATTTTCGATGTTATTACATCACAAATTTAAGAGTAGTTCAGCATTTATTCGTGCCTTCTTATATAATACCGTCAACGAAAGTGAAGGATCATCTGAGCACACACTACTTAGCAGTTCGTTTATTCGAAAAGCGGCCATTCTTCTGATGGTAATTGCAACTACTCAACTACTTATCCTAGCTTGGAAACGAATCTGCTTACGGTTACTCGACCACTCACAGTGTTCGAGGAGGAACACCTGTTCGACTTCTCGGTTCCCTCTCGAACGTCGGCATTTCTGATCGCGACGACATGAATTGCCCTGCCTTTTCGTATCCATTCAAAGGTTCCTGAATTTCAAAGCGAATCAGTGAAAAAATAGTGCTGCGGATATCTCCACTAGATAGTATCAAGTTTGGCGCGCAAGAGTTTGAGTGCTTCTTCACGGCCCTTTCGAAATGGATGGGAAAAGCATGTAATTGGAGTAGTCGAAGAACCGTGAAAAACTAGATTGATTTTCCACGTAAACTTAAAAGTGCATAACTAGCTTCAATGTAGACTAAAAATTTACCTAGAATTCGCCGTTTGATAATCACACAGGAAGTTGTTACTATACTCATTTTCACAAAAGCTGATGTTTCAGCGAATTTCGTTTTCTTCAGAGACATTTTCTATGAATGTTCTACTGTAACTGAGTGCTGCGTTTCTAGAACGTATACATTCAAGATTACCGTGTAGTTCGATAAGCTACCTACTTACTGATCAACCAGACCGTCCTCACTCCTTACAAAACACTTCATTTACTTCAGGTGATTTCAAAGGCCAATTTATTTATCGTGTATTTGTATAAAATCACGGATGCCTCTTGTATAAAGAATTTTAATGCTTAGTGCTATTTAGCTTGTAGGTGGGACGGAGATGAAGGATAAAGCATTCGGCGTTGATCATTCTCGTCGGGGTACTCCGTGCGTTCAACTCCATTAGCATCGTAGAAATGATTTTACGTATATTTTGTTTGTACAACATATAGTAGCCTACCAATGTATCAAGTCAGTGTTTTTATCGCTCAGACAGGTTTGGTACAATTTACCTATTCCGGATAGTTGAACGGATTGGTTACCCTTGTGTACGGAATCGAACGAAATACCCACCAAGGACACCTCTAACCACTATATTAGAAAGGCATTAACAGGTTAGATAAAGGTTATAAAACGGCAAAAGTGATCTAGCACTTATTCTGAGGTGCAAATGGATTCGAAAAGATGAAATTCATCTATGCCAGGCCACAATTTCTTGCACCTCCCATATGTGAATTATGATATTCATGATGCGAACTTTCTTGCGTATAATTAGATCATTCATGTGATACTAAGCAAAAGCATGCAGTTCAGAAAGTTCTATGTATTGGGAGCTCGATGTGTTATCAACATAATCCTGCCCGTGAAAGTCGATTTCTTTGAATGACTAATGATTTGGACCGGAACTTTACGGTTAAGGACAGGGAGCACCACCCGGAAAACGTACCATCGTCTGCGTCCAAACGACGCTATGGCGATGAGATCGAAATATTTTACAATTTAAACCTCGAAAAATCCTACGGAGAGGATCAATTCTTGCTGGACTTTAGTTTGTGATAAATAGGCGAATGTCAAACAAGTCCAAGGAATATGAGCCCAACATAACGACTAGCACCATTAATTGCAATTTCCATTTCCAGAAAATAGCCCGCTCAATATTGAAGACAGCAATCTACCAACTGAAAGTGTCATAATGAAAGTGATCACGTCGTTTTAAATCGGAGTTTTTTGTTAAGCAATGTTAAGTTACGTCTAACCGAACACTTCTAGCGTAGTGCTAAGAAAGCTAACAGTTTGATCACTAGAAGTTTGGCTCTAGAAATTCTGATGCTCGCACTTTAGGGTGAAGCTATACAAACCCTAGGCAAGTGCGAGTTCAAATCACAAAGGTCCGTGGGAAGCGATAAAAGACGGCATTTAGAAGAGAAAAGGGATAAGAATGACTACAGCTATATAGTTTGCAAAATAGCATTTGTAACACCTAATATGACATCGCTAGGACGAAGATGACAGGTTTCCAGCACCCAGACGTGAATATCCTTGTAACCCGGAAGACAGTTTAAAAAAAGTTTATCCATAAACTCCTACTCGAGTTTCGTCAATAGCCAAATTCACTCGCTTTATATGGTTCCAGGAATTTTGGAGAAGGCGTGCAAGTTCATTACTATAGCTGAGAGACAGGCGAAACGAAGGATCCGCATGGTGTGGTGGTGAACGCGTTACTCCCGGAAAGGATAATAGCGCGTTCGTTCCCCACCATAGATACCTGCGGTCCAGAGTTTTGCAAATATCTCAGCAACGTTGTCATTACTGGTTCTCCATTAGCTCTACGATCCTTTGATTCTGTGAGAATCGAACTCCTGCGAAACACACGCGAAGTTATTATCAGTACATGTTACCACTTCTCCAAGCAATCAGATCGATACGTTCCAAGTCAATGGAAAATCATCGTGATTGTTGTGACACAAAGAGAAAGTTCCACATGATATCCCCTAATATTGCACAATTCGTCTGCTGCGTCTATTATACAAACTTTTTCCCTTAGTCATTCTCAGTAAGACAAAGAACTGTATGAAGCAAGAAGACATGCATGCAAGTGTAAATTCCGAAAATGGCGTAGTACGATAGAGCAGCACGAAAGACTATACGAGATACTGCTGATTGTTACGAAACTTTGAATAGTCAAGGGTGCCTCCACAAACACAAAGCTACTCCGTAAGCCTTGGTGTAACTTTATGAGCATCGTTTTGTCATTAAACAACGATAGCATTATGAATGCGAAGAAAAGGGTTCGACAAAACCATAGGATATAGGAAGCTTGTTCAGTACCGTTCCTGAAAATTTCATTCCGAAACTTGAATGTGATAGTAAAGAGGTGGGAGTAAATTGCTGATAGCTACGCTATCCTATCTTTATCTAAGATATCGATCACAAAACACCAAGTGTGGTCGAGTTCTGGCTGATCGACGGCCCGTGATATTGAAAAGGTATTCATGATTGGGTTAAATCCCTTTTAATCAAATCTAAAGAATATGACGTTCACGAAAACGGGACTTATTTTAGTGTCCTATTCATGCTCAACCTCCCCGCGGTTTACTGCCTCATCGTGCTTGTGAGGCGTTCCTAGGTTTTGGCCTGCGATATACAGCGGGAGATTCATCCCCACAGCAGAGCCACCCAAGTTAAGAAGGAGTCCGGCGCTCCCAGCGGAAAACTCAGCTGAAAATAATAGCAAGACCCACCACCGTCCTGGTGGTATCAAACTACTCGCGTGATGGCAATCTCCCTCTGATCCATAAGGGCGGCGATTGCCTGTGGTGATAATCACCTAGAGCTGATTTCGGCAAGACCGTCCTCTAGACCCCAGGAAACTACAATGGCTAAACCAGAAAATCTCCGAAGAATGCAAATTAGGCTTGGACCCAAACAACCAGTGATAACGGGCCATTGAAGTATCAAGTATCCAAGTATTCACGCTCAACGGCCAGTGCATCCGAATTCAGTTATGTGTAGCAGATTGTGAGAAAATCTAGAAGACTATATAAAAAAGAGACACAATCACTGGGCTCACTGCGCCCTTTCGACTTCCCATTATAATTGAGGAACTATATGACGCAACTAAAAGGCGACCAACCCTGTTGAACCTGTTATTGACAGCGCAACGACTGGTGTATTTCGTATTCTGAAAGTAGGAGAGGATATCTGAAGTTCCGAAGATTCGTGATGATATGAACACTGAAAGATCTGATGAGCTACTACATGAGTTGAAATGTCAGGAATCGGATAGATCGAACAATTCATGCTTTCTAACCTCTCCAGAACAGCTTACAGCGATCTAATTCCACTGGCGTTATGCATTCGATAGTTAACCTACTTCACAAAGACGCTTAACGAAAAACTTTTTATTCAATATTTTGTTACACGACCATCATCATATCTACCGCGCGGATGCAAGTACTTCTTGCGTTTCCTTGCATCGAACATCCCTAATGGTCTTCGAACATTTCGCGTTTTGTTTCAGCTGCTGCTTGAGGATTTCGTGTTCTTTACCAATGTCATAGAATACTGGTTGAGTCAATTCTCCCTACAATCTTGGAGATAGTTGGGATAAGGCGTCCCCACGTAGATTGGAAGAGAGCACTGGGGCGGGGATCGAAGAAGAGCCTTTGCTTCCTGAACAGCGGCATCACTAACCACTACGCTATCCCAGCCCTTACGAAAAACTTGATACCTTAAATCCCAGTATACCAATTTGACAACTGAATCGTATGAGGAAAGTTCACTGTGGGAGAGCACGTAGTAGGAACGGAAAAAGATCTTTGTTAGAACACCTTTAAGCATTCATTATCAATAACAGTGATATTTCATATCACCAATATTTTGATAGAAATTCATCTCGATAGTCACGATAAGAAACATTCACAGAAAAGGAGGTAGTTTATTAGCAATTTTAGGCGTCAACTTGTCACTAAGCTCTGCTAAAAAGGCAAAAATGATTTGCTTGTAGGAAATGCCAAAGCTACGTTAGGGCCCAACTAGATACTTACCGTTTCAGGACCCACGACACTCGCACTTCTTGATGGTGACCTTCGTTTCTTTCGATCCGACTGCTTGATAAACCAACAGATAGCAAATATTCCGATTAGTACGAGAAGAATCGCCATAACTATAGACATCCATTGTAACCATACAAGAATATTATCCTTAGCTCTAAATTGTTTTTTTCAACAATATAACTAAGTGGGTTTCAACTAACTAATAAGTGGTCACAATATAACTGTGATATTAAATACCTATGTCGGCACCAAGGCTGTTCACCTTGCGTCCATTGCATACGCCACGAGTTGTCTTGCGCGTTATGAATTTTCAGGCCTAAATTTCCTCTTACCATCTACATATGTACTTCATAACCTCTAGAAATCCCCATATAACTTTTCAATTGCGATTGCGATGTGGAGACAAGAAAGCACAGTGGCACATACACTGGAACTCGGCGTCGCCCTTCATTACGTGTGTCTGAAAACAGCTGAACGAGAGCTTGTCGCCCTCCAGATATGCCGGCTCTCCACTTGATGGCCCTTTAATGAGATACTCTGGATATTCAATGTTCATAGCACCGCATGAGTTATCTGAAATAAAGACGGTTACGATTTCTTTTGATTACTACGACGCTTGACGAACCATGCTGATAGTCTTGACGAATCCATTGAAAAACCCGGAATTACGACATGTATTACGAAATTGTTAAATTAATCGTGATCCATTAGAATAAGGGCTACAATCGCTTTTAAAGAGAGTTTTGACTTGATGAGGTTACTTGAAACGACAAATATGGCCATTAGTGGCACAAATACTCTATTTTTATAGTGAAAAGCCATTCCCGCGCTTTCCTTTACATTATCTGGATAATTTCTATAAAATTTCAATTTCCTCAAGGACAATAATAGTTCTCAATAGTTATTTCCTTCTCCAATAAAACATCGTTCCGTCACTATGATAAGGAGGTTCCTGTAATCTAACAGGTAGCTCCTGAGCGTAACAGCGACGACGGAAAACTTTATTAGGTCCGAACGAGCCACTAGATGATCAACGGTATTGCAAATGCTACAGATAGAAGTTCGCTCTAAAAAAGAAAAGTAAACCAACATCGTGTAGCGCCTTCCATTCTTTGATTCAAATAGTAATAATAGGAAATTCGTGCTTCGTCACCGAGCATCCGAGCCTGGAATAAACTTTTGACCTCTTTCTGAGGAACATGGAATAATGTTTTGTATTCAACAATTCTTTCCAAAAGCAAAAAAACAATCCAAAATATACTGGTGTTTTGCTTTGGGCAAGTATTCCTTTATCTTATGTGTCTCAAACAAGGACATTACCAAAGGTTCGAATCCAAGACAATCCAAGAAGTGCTGAACGCATACATTCAGAGTCGGAGCAGAAACTACCACAGTGAAGGAAGTCAGCCTGACTCAACGATCGGTAAAATTCAACGTACGAAAAACAGCTTGTATTTGAGTTTACCACTACCAACAAGACCGTTCATGATAATACACAGTTCCAGAAGCACAGCTCTCAACACTGGACGTGGAATTCGCCCCATGGTATGCAAATGGTATGCATTATAACGAAATAGACTATGTCATTATGAACCGAAGGTTTTGTCGAGCCGATGATGCTGTTGTTTCAAAATTCTGCATGAGGCAGATCACTGCCTCATTCAAGCAAGATTCTACTTTTCGCGGAAAGGAGAGAAAACAACTAAATTCAAAAACGAAGTACCAAAACCACCATAAACTGCGATCTATTAAGAATACAAGCCGGTTTCTCAGAAGATGCTATTCTTGATAAGATCGACGAGGAATACGATCGGCTCATTCAACATCTTCACATTAGCGCTATGAAGGCTGGATCTTGAAAATCATCAAGAGACATCTCTCTCCTGAAACACTCGAGCTGATACGCCACCGTGGAATTGTACGAGCTGTAGGCAACCGATATCTCACGTCCGAGCTTGGAAAACAATGCAGGCAGACGATAAAAGAACACCTTAAAGAGAGAAAACCAGCAGTTATTGTCGAAGCTGCAGAGGCCGAAAATAGCATTCGCAAAGCCAATCGATGATTCACCAATTACAAAACCAAGATGATTGAAGTGCGGCGCCCAAACGGAACAGATACACCTTCTAGAAAGTCAATGGAAAAAAATCATTCACCTTTACCCTTCGAATCTTTTCAGCCATATCTTCCTGCCACTATACGAAATAGAAGAGGATAGATATGCCGCAGCACCGGTTCTCCCCTCCGAAATCCGACATGCTATTTCGTCAGTTGTAAATTAACAATACCTCGGCACAGAATAAGACGTGAATACCTGAAGGAACTTCCGCCAGTTGTCATCAACACACTGGCATGGCTCTTCACACGCTACCTGCCAGAGTGAAAAATTCCTATTCAATGGAAAGAAGACTTTATTATTGTTCAGTCCGATCCGCTTGCTTGTTGTTAAAGTACAATCTGCTTGCTGCCCGTCGTCTATAATTTCTGCACTCAAGTCATTTTAAACAAGTCTCACAGAGCATTGGACGAAGAGCAGTCTTGTGAGTAAAGGCTTCGAAAACGATTCATTCCAATGGAGCACATTCACGACAACAAAACTCATCGAACTATTGCAAGAGGACAAGAGGCCGCTCTATTTCATTTCCATCTATTTAAAGGAAACTTTCGACTTGGTTGAGATAGAAACCGTCATGGGAATTCTATACAGCCAGAGGGTCCCACCCACTACATAAAAATTTCTCATGAGCTATATAAACATTTCACAGCTAAAATGTCACCATTCTACAACGATATTAACATCGACGTAAAAGTGAGGTTAAACAAGGCGTTAACGTCTGGCCAAAATTATTTATTGTCAGCCTTCAAAACGTCATGCGAATATTGGAATGGGACAACTTGGGTGTGAGAACCGATGGTTGGCAATTACACGATCTTCGCATTGCTGATGACATCGTTCTTGTAACACCGAACATTAGCCAGGTAGAGCTAATAACGCTTGTACAAAAATTGGTCTTCGACTAAATCTCACAAAAGAGATGTTTGTAAGGTACGGATTGATTTCATATGCTTCATTCAAGCTCAAGGGAATGAATATCTCCGAATGCTCTAGTAATGTCTATCTAGGTAGGGAAATCAACATGACGAACGACATGTTAGAAAATTTAAAATCAGCGAAAACTGATTAAATTAGCTAGTCGAGAGAACATGGAATTCTAGATTAAAATCAGAAGCAGGTCGGTTATTTAGTGGTACCTGCAACATAACAGCGTCGTACAGACACGCCACATCGTTTGCACAGTCCGATTCGAGTGACCCAAGATCAGCAGGACATCGAAGGTATTGCTGCCGTTCTTCCGGATATTCGTAATCAGGGTCTCCTAAGCACATATTCCGCTAAACGGTGTAAACTAAAAAAAGTTTAAATATTCGACGAGTTATTTTAGAGATCTTAAGCAATCATTCTGCGTACTTTTTTTCGAAGGATGATCAACAATCGGTTGACAAGCCTAGTTCAAAAAGACAGTGTCCAGAATGATTGCTGTGCTACTAAAAGTGCACCCCAATAATGGACGTTTGTTAGATGAAAATACAAAGACGACCATGTCTAAGGAACGAAAAGACGACGAACACAGGAAATAATCTTAATCGTTTTATATGCTGCATACTCTTTTTAATGGCAGGGCATATTACGAAATATAACAACAATGATGCTGAGACAATTGCAAAACTCCGGACTGCAGGTGTCTGCGGTCTGGAGTTTTGCATAAAATATCATTGACGTCTACTAGTGGAAAAAACAAAACAAAGACCACCAAGGAGGAATAAATGTGGGAGAAAAGTTGTAAAGCTGTAACCCAACCAAGGATAAGTTGAAACCCACTTCTTGGTGTTCTGCAAAACGCCAAAAAGTTCCTGAAGTCGGTTTCTGTTTGAGGATGGAAAGCATAGCGACTCCTACGAATTTCAGGTAAGTTAACGATAAAACAACTTTGGTGGAAAAAAGCTCATTTTCTTCCAGGCAAAAAAAAACACTCACGATTGATATTTTGAAGCCGTTTTGTAGACAGGTCCTTTGAGGTAATGGTCAGCAAAGGCCTGAATCATTCTTTTCTTCGAAACGGTTCTGTACAATTGTCATTTTATAAACAAGTGTGGAAGGAATTTCTCGACTTCAACGGGTTCGTATTTACCTGAAACAAATTCTCGCGATCACTTCTAGAAGCGAACAGATCGGAGACATCATCAGCTTGCAGATTCACATTCATCAGCTCCATTTCGCCTTTGATTTTATCTAGAAGAAACTTAAAGGCTTAAGATTTGACAAAGGACTTAGCTACCGATGCAAAAATTCAAATCTAAAGTGGAGCAGCAGAAATAGCAACATTGTCTACAAAAACGTCAGTTGCAATGGTAACGTTCAGTTCAAGCAAAGTGTGAACGGAATTATGGGCAACTGTCGAAAACTGCTCAACATATGGTTCATTATCCATAATGGTCTTCCATTACCTGTTTCCGTTTTTTTATAAAAAAAAAATCGTGCTGATCTCGACAAGACTAACTTTTAACAGCTATTTAGCTGGTTTGCTAAGATTTCTTACTTAACGCATTGACAAACTAACATTATGGCCATTACCACGGATAGGCATGAGCTTTCCCGAATATTACGGAGCTTTTTTACCTTAACAGTAGGTGTATTACAAAATCAGAGCCTGGCAATCTTTTACTTCTAGTTGGGCCTCTAAATAGAGATGGTGAACTCGACATCAAAGGGCTCTTGGAGAAGAAAAGAACTCCGCAATGTAAATCACATCTCGACAACCCGAAAGTGAAGCACATCATTTGCATTAATAAAGAAAGCTGCCAGTTAGGTATGATTTATGAAGCACATACAGCCACGGTTAAAATTACATTATTATTTGAAGCTTTTCTTTTTTCATAGAATGACTGGTTTCGTGAACAAAACTGTGTTGTCATGCCCACTTCAAAAATTCGTCCAAAAGTTTTATCTGAAGAACACCCTGCTATTCTGAAGTCTCTCAATCTAAAGAAAAGTGCGAATAGCATGGAACCTGTGTGAGGTGTGAGGCGCGCTACAATACACACGCCATATTTGATTCGAATCTGCGTCCAGTGCTCACCAATCCTTCCGTCACTCCGTAATTGGCAAATTGGTACCAGACTTGTAGGATAGAAGCAATGACTTTATACATCGGTACGCCACCATCAGTCACTGCATAGGCCACAAATGCATTTAACCATCTCGAACGAGATTCGATGACGTCAAATGGATAGCATATTCCCGAGGGATTGAGCAACGCCGTAAGGTTCATCTTTCGTTCTTTGCCGTTTATCCTTTATGAACAGATACATTTTCACTTTAAAGTTCAAAGCATCTAGTTTGCACATTGAATTTTGACATTTCACAAACATTTTCCTGACATTTCAAACAAACGCACATTTCATAAGTTCTGCACGAATGCTTGGATCGTTGACGCTACTCCATCTCAGTGCAGATTGCTGTTGGAATGGCTCATTCGGAAATGGATTTATAAGTCCTTCAACTCGTGGAGTGTCCGCAGCACGAGGTAGTGCACCAATCTGGAAAAGATATTAAACGACAACAAAACTTTTGCAGACGTCGCGATCAAGAGAGTTTTTAAGTTTCCATGTAAGTAGTTTTAAATTGTTGCTTACTCTACTAAACCACCTACAGTTCTCTATCATCGATTTTATTCCCTTTCCCGAGTACTTGGCGTGTGTCTTTAAAAACTGTGTCAAGCGTTGTTGCCCATCTAACCCGTACACCTGCAGTGTCGAATGGTTTCTATTGGAGTTCTGAAAAACACTTAGTAAGGAGTCCTTGGATCGTAGCCATTCAAACTCGTCGGACGTCGTGGATTACATGGATGAGTGCGATATATTACGCTTCTTCGCGGCGACGACTCCTTTTCTACTGTTAGTTAAACTTCCAAAAAGAAAGTTCATCACTAATGGAGGAGTTAAAGTACGGCTATACATTGGAATTCGATAATAGGGAACGTTCCTCGCACACAACGACACGACACGTGAATACAGGCTTTCATTCTGCCTTTTTTAAACGCCTTTGAAAAGGTTAAATGTTTTGCTACAATGAACAGATTAGGTTCCTCAATTCTTATATGATTATCTGAGTAGTAAAAAAAAAAGAAAACTAGTGCGATGGAGTCAAAAGTTAAGCCTTTAGTGGGCTGAAATGGTTATAGAGAAACATACACTAAATACTTTGTACTGCGGTGGTATTGAGATCTGTAAGTCAAGTAGTCCTAGACTTTCCATGTAGTTGAATTTCCTGTCGATGTCAATAGCATAAGATTCCCGAATGCGGACACCAATTTGAGCCTCGTCTAAGACGACATAAATCTCCGACTGGCCTTTTTCAACGTTGTTCACGTACACCGTTACTCCTAAATTAACTGAATTGTAAGCAGCCAACAACTTGCACTGCCACTATGCATTAATCATTTGTTTTCTATGAAGCTTTTAAAGGAACCTAACAATTAAATTATGTCGTACATATTGGTCATCTAAAGGACTTCTACAGATTTATCAAACACAGATCTCACTGCTAACACGACAGAACTAGAAGTCAGCTTCTTGCGACAAATTGTTCACACTCTTTATGGTAATGCGGGACTCCCAAGATTATTCTCACGCAATCTCACCCCTGAACCGTTGGATGTGCATGCTGTCAAAATACCGTATAACGTTTCCCACAATGATCGAAGTCTTGTAGCGCTGACGGAATGTATCCTTGCGTAACACGACATGCACTCTGAACACCTTTGCCTTCACAAAATACAAGTGGAAGAAAATAAAAAAAAAGTGTCCTGTGACTTGGCAGGAACTAAACAGCTAGTCTAAAGTCCAAACACTTAATATCAATAACCAGATAATGAATGAACTAAGCAGTATAACAGAAAACATGAAATGAAAGGTAAGGATAAAAAAATATAATAGCTACTCCATGCGTACCTGTCGGTGGCATCGGATGACAAAACAACGCCTGTCACTACCGTTGCGTTCGTCGGTTGCACCAGGTCACGTTGAGAAATCTCGAGTGAGCCTGCGCAGAAAAAAAAACCGTTTATAAATTGGTGAAAATATCCTTCGCATATTAAAGCGCCTATGCAGAATATAAGTTATACTGTCTCAGTAACAACGTAATGTTGAATAAGAATTGTAAAACAACAAAAATAGAACAATGCGAAGTGGAAATATATTCCCTGTCAACGCCGCCAGGTTACTTGATATTAATTGCACATTCCACAACCACAGTTCATTCCCATGGAAGAATATCATGCCCATTAGTCGCGAAGCAATGTGACTCGCTCCCAGGTGACGTATAACGTATAACGGATTACTCGCGGACTAAACGCGGCCTTCCCTGAGACGGAGGTGGATTCACGGGATGGACACCCTGTTCCTGCTGCATGGATTTAACCCATACTTTTTGCATTCATGCAGACATTCTTGCATGAATAAGTGGATGTTTTTCCGTTTACGTGGATCGTATTCTACGAGTTAATTCGGCGAAAATTCTGCAATCAAGTCGCTTCGAAGCATATGGGAAGAAGTTAGGAGTAAGCGCTCCAACAAGTAAGCTCCTAGTCTACTCTGGGAGAGATTAGTAAGCTACCTTTAAGTACACCCAGCCTCCACGTTCAGAGTTGATCAAGCTATACGTACGCTTCGAAAGCTAAAACAGCAAAATAAGTGGAACTCATTTTCCTGATATCGAAAGAGCCCCATTGTAGCAGCATTGGGTAGGACGAGTAAGGAAAAGCTGAGAGAGTTTTAGCGCCATTCTAGACTACTTAGGTGGCAAGGGAATGGATTGGCGATCTATATCTAGGATGTAGGCACATTTGTATCTGGGTCATCGATAGAAGACTTGCTCATGCAAGCAAGAAGGATAGAGTACGACATCATCGGCCTGGTCGAAACGAGACGACGCCACCCATTCAACGCCGTCTAAGACACCGGAGAAGAGCTGTTCCTCGGAACATGCGACAGTAGAGGAGTCGGCGGCGTCGGCGTTCTCGTCAACACGAGTTTGTCCATGAATATCGACTCATTAAAACAGCTTACAACCGGAATCGGACGATTGCGATTAGTGAGATGTAGATCAACAGCGACTTTGACAATCTTCGTCGTTTACCCGCCGACATCAAACGACGACGAAGAAGTCGAAGCGTTCTACGTGGCCCTGGAGAAGTTCTACAGAGAAGACCATACATTCTTTAAGGTGATCACTGGAGATTGTAACGCTAAGGCTGTGCCAAGAAAAAAGCCTGAAGAACGTCACATTGGGACTCACGAATTAGAATGCAACATGCAGGGTGAGCGGTTGCCTGAATTTATCATGACGACCTGACCATTTGTTGTAACTCGCAGTCCCAGAAGCTCCACACTGAACTCGACGTGGAGACTCTCCAAAAGAGGAGTACTATGACGAAATAAACCACGAAATAATAAATTTAACGACATGCCTAACCGCTGTTGTCCCGAAATTCTAAACGGGATGAGAGCATCACCTCTTCCTTGCAAGGTTTCATTTCTCACGAAAAGGCGAAAAAGCTGTGGAATTCAAAAAACTAAGTTCCAAAGCTACTATAAACTGAGATTTATTCAGTTTATTAGTCGGCTACTGGGAAGAAGACGTTATTGCTTAGATCGACGAGCTATATAACCGTCTTAAGCACATTTCCATGTTAGAGCTATGAAAGCTGAGAGTTCGAAAGTCTCCAAAAGACGTCTTTCTGCAAAAACGCTCGAGCTGGTACACCAGCGTAGAATCGTAGGAACTACAGGCAACCGGTAATTCACATCAGAACTTGCAAAACAGTGCAGACAGGCGATAAAATGAGATCTTAAAGAGAGAAGAGCAGCAGTAATGGTCGAAGCTGCAGAGGCCAGGAAAAGCACTCGCAATACCCTCTGAAGCTTCGCCGATTACAAAATTAAGATGCTAAGGCTCCAACGCCCAGATGGAAAAGTTGCAGCGTCCAAAACAACAATGGCGAAAATCATTCATGGTTACTACCCAAATCTCTTTAATAGCCACGTCCTCTCGCCCACATACGAAATAAACGAGGGTGGATATTTCGTACAACTAGTTCTTCCTTCCGAAATCTGTTACGTCGGTGAAAAAATAAACAGCACCAGAACCGGACGGGATAAGATCATAAACATAATAGACACCTGAAAAACCTTCCGCCAGTCCTCGTGAGCACACTGGTTCGGCTCTTCACACGTTATCTGACTGAATGCAAGGTCCCTGCTCAGTGGAAGACCAGAAAGACCGTGTTATTGTTCAAGAAGAGTGACCTACACGATATCGACAACTATCGCCCAATCTGCTTATGTCGTCTACAAACTTTTCACTCCAGTCATCCTAAACAGGATTGATAGAACATTAGACGAAGGACAGCCATGTGATCAAGCAGGGTTTCGAAAACGATTCACTGCAATGGACCACATCCACACGACAATAAGACTCACCGAGTTATCACCAAAGCACAAAAAACCGCTGTCTCACTTTTATCGATTTGAAGAAGGCTTTTGACCCAGCCGAGATAGAAGCAGTCATGGGAGCCCTGGAGAGCCAGGGAGTTCCTGGACTCAGTGTATGAAGATTCTTCGTGAGTTGTATAAAAATTTTACCACTAAGACATCCCTACCCTACAACGATATAAACATAGACGTCAAAAGAGAGGTTAGACAATGCGAAGCCATCCCGCCAAAATTATATATTGCCAACCTCCAAAATGTCATGCTAACATTGGAGTGGAACAACATAGGCGTGGAAACCGGCGGTCGGTAAGCGCGCCAGCTTCGCTTTCCTTATGATATCGTGGTTACAACACCAAATATTAGCCAAGCGAAACGAATCGTTGCCGATTCTAATAAATCCTGTAGAAAGATTGTTCTTAGACTAAATCTCACAAAAACGGAATTCATGAGGAACGGATTGGTTTCGAATGCCGCATTCACGCTCAATGGAACGAATATCTCCAAGTGCTCCAGTTAGGGCTATCTAGGTCCGGAAATCAGCGTGATGAATGACTTAGCTCCAAAGTCGAGCAGGAATAAGCGAGCGGCTTGGAAAGCTTTTAAAACTTTCAAGGATATAGTGGGGAAAACAAAGAAAATTCTCGTATATAATGCTGAGATATTTGTAGAACTCCGGACCACAGGTGTATGCGGTGGGGAACGAACACGCGCTGTTGTCCTTACCAGGGAGCTAAGAGACAGGCAAAACGAAGGACCCGGATGGTGTGGTGGTGAAGTGCGCTGGTCCCCGGTAAGGACAACAGCGCGTGTTCGTTCCCCACCGTATACACCTGCGGTCCGGAGTTTAGCAAATATCTCAGCATTATGTACGACTTATATTTCGCAACATACCCCGACATTGAAAAGGAAAAGGCAGTAAATAAAAAGGGTAAAGAAAATTCTACTCCGTGTCCCCCTTTTCGACTACACTATTCTTCCTGCCTTAATGTATGCGTCAGAAACCTGGTCGCTACGTAAGAATGATAAATGATCACTCTCTCAACGTTGCAGAACGCGCATTCGAAAGGATGATGCTAAGAGTAGCCCGTATCACGCAAGTAAGGAAAGGGATCCGAAGACGTCAACGATCAAAAGTCAAAGATGCCGTTCTATACGCCAAACAGTTGAAGATAAGCTGGGCCGGACACTAATGCGTATGAAGAATAGCCGATGGATAGGAGCCGTTAGCGACTGGACTCTCTGAGACATCTAAAACACAGTAGCAAAACCATCGAACCGATGGTAAATGTCCTATCGAAAGAAAGATATGATGTTCAGTGAGTTCCTGGAGGAGCAGAGCGCACTAGGCTAGACTTGCAAGCGACGGGAAGAAATGAAAGATTTACTGGCGCCCACTCGTGTCACGTGACGATCAACGGGATGACAGATGATATAAGTGAAATTTAGATAATTCCTTTACAGTTCTATTTTATCCTGCGCATATCACATTTTTTTAGACATCCTACTTGATCGAAAAAAAGTAGACAAATTAGAACTGTGTATACATTCATGACCCAAAATTTCTACATTCTGATTTGTCGCAAAAGAACATACATGAAGGCACCAAAATGAGTGAAACAAACGAAATAAAAGACGCAGAAGCAGCAAACTTCCCTAAAACCGACCGAAATCAACACTTCTATCTGGGAAGCGCTCCATGCGCACCTGGATTTGCACTTCCGGCGTGGAACTGGTTTTATGAGCATGTAGTAGTTTGAAGATTCCTGGCTCGTTGAAAACGAAATTCCTGTTGTTCAGCGTTGATACTAGACCAGCACCCAAGATCGATCCTGAATTCCTTTGAAAAAATAGACGGGGTAGTTTTAAAATCACTGTTCGCGTTGCATTCACCCAGATAAACCAGGTCTCTGCTTCGCATAGAGTTTTGGGGGCTCATTTTTAGACATAACCTTGTCAAATCAAAAGCAAAGATTCTGTTGTAACACATACGCTACCGCATGCACTGAAATCAAGGCATACGAGCGAAAAATTGGATCGCATGCATCGACCACAGTGCACTTTCTTTCGCTTCCTATTCCGTTTCTTTTGCTACTTCTTCCTTTTGTTTCCTTCTTCACCTTTCACCTTACCTTTGGCACCCAATCAATATCTTGCCCAACATAGATACCATACCATACCCTTGCCATACCTCCTCCATGAGACTCTTCTCTCTACACTTAGTAATCCACGAAAATTTTCCTTCGGACGAGGTCGTCCATCTGATTTGAATGCCGTGGTCGACATTGTGAACATTAGCATCTCAACCTTACTTGCAAACTGAAATTCGAAACTTAGGGCGCTTCATCGCCATGATAAGGTAGTAAACCACTTAGCGAACTTAATAAAAATGTTTGCGGTATGAATGAATGATCGGGGTCAGAGTGGGCATTCATCAACGTGTACAGTGTGATCTTTGGAAAGACTGCACTTCTCTTAATTCGCCGTTTTCTCTCAGTAATCGCGAGATTGTTATACAGCATACATTTACTTCCATAGGAAAACACACATACAACACAATCGTAGCTGACGTTTCGACTGCCAGTCGTCAACCATATGCGACTGTGATCAGCGGCTCTTCCTCAGTGGAAGGCACGTAAAAACGATGGGTTTTTCGAGAAGCTGTTGACCGTGTGGCTACCACTTAGATTCTCATCTTTCTGTATGTGTTATTGAAGCGTTTGACCTAGTAAGTTGCTTATTAGTGTACCCTTCCAGGCTCTGGAGAAGGCGATTCTGCCGAAACGTCAACTACTATTGTTTTGTATGTGTGTTATTGTATGAAAGTAAACGTATGCTGTTTAACGACCTCGCGGTTGCTGAGAAAGAAAACGACGCATTTATAATCCAATGCCAAGGTTAATAGGAAGTTGATCCTGGGAACTGCACTTTTCTAGTTGTTATCCATATAATTCCTCATTGATGTCGTGAACATTGCACTTAAAAACAATTATGGTGCAATGCATTGGCTGAACCTAGCTGACCTTCTTGGTACCCTTTGCGGCACACGTGAAATTGCGATATTTTAAAACTTCCTTGTGGCCATTGACATCAAGGCTACAATTTATTTTCATTATGGAGACTTCTTGACGATGTGGACAACTGAATGGGAAGGTACTTGTATTAAACCGAAATACACATAAAATCGAAACACCTTTTTCGAAACCGCCTGAACACTCTGCGTTTTGGCGACTCTGCGGAGAAAGTTGCGCACCATTACACCGCTCTTTTTGGGCATTCTACTGCCCCTTGATGGGTAATGTGGTCGTGAAATCCTTTCTTGTTCTTCCTCCATGTACCAATCAGAAAAGTTTTCCTCTCGAACACTCTCTTACCCATTGCTATATGTTACGGGTTGAACAGGTGTCTTCCTTGATTCAACAAATAGTTCATGGGCTCATCCACCACAAGCTAAACCGTACTCTCTGTTATCGAGCCGTTTTCACCAACATAAACTGTAGCGCTGTATGTGTAACCATATGTTTAGAAACTGGGAAATTTTAACCCACAGTTGTGTTCTTATGTAATGCAAATTTACGGAATTGAACTCTTCTCCTCAATGGCACGAGGCTCCCGTCAATGCCTCGTCAACATCAATTTTGCTTATTGTTTATCAATCTTTTAAGTCCTAATTACTAGACAATTAGCGGAGTGATGAGAGCGCGACACACTGTGGCAATGATGCCGATCATTACGAGAATAGTGCTGGCTAGATCTCGTTTCGAGCACACCAAGCCTCTCTTCCCTATGGGGTTGGGAAATCGGTACCAGATTTGTATGCGAAACGTTCACTCCGTGCAATGCAATTGGGAACGCTCCTGCCAGGCTATCTCAGGACTCTAGTGAAAATCGATTCCAACAACATTCGACGACGTTCATGATGGAAGGAAAATCCTCAAGCAGCAGCCAAAGCCACATGTAAAAAGTTTGAAGACCTTCGTGGATGATGGATGCTAGGAAACGAATCGAATTTGAGAAGTGGTAGGACCCGCACAACAAATGTGAAAGACGGTCGTGTAAAAAAAGTAGAGTGGTCTTGAATAACATTTCTCGCCCATGAAACATTCCATTCCAGAGAATGGTTATGAATCAGCAGTTTTTCAAAGTTCTTCCGTGTCGTCGCTGTAAAAGCAAGATCGGATGCAAAAATGGAATGAGTCCTTCAATAATCTACAAACTAGGACAGTTTTACAACTCCAATCAAAAGACAGAGATCAATTGTTCTTTCCATCTCTTTAACAGTGAACAGTCGATTCCCGTGATTAATCCTTTCCTTAACGTATATGTTGGTAGCTCTCACAAGTAGCTCCAAAATATCCGCCGTAAGCAAATTATTAAAAATACCCTTGTTCTGCGCCTCCATGCAGGAGCAATTGGTTTAGAGCGGAGCGAATTGACTACCATCGACAATCTAGCAGGTTAGCAAGCACCATATTGTCTGTCCACTCCATGTGTGCATCGTCACCACCAACTCTACCTTGTCGTTGTGATCTTCGTCCTAATCTCCAATACATCTCAGATTCTTTACCGACAGGCACCATAAAAGAACTCATCGGTTCACTGTCAATGCGCGAAATTGCGGCTCATGTCTGCGGCCGACACAATTGAAACCCACAAAATTCAGTTTTTGCTGACAGCAATGTGGTCAGGTGATTGACCAGTCACACTAGGTTGGGAAATGTTACAAATACATGGATAGCTATGAAAACAACGGAATAGGTGGAACACTACAGAGAAATCACAAAAATCAGTTTAAAAGTATGTGGGAAAACCAATTTGTGGATCCAAAAAGGTGTAATCATTTATGGGTGAAGTGGACTGTGTGCATTGAGTTCAATATCGCGAGCGACCGAAAATCTAGGGTAGTCGCGTAAGTGTCGACAAGGGTTACAAATAAATTTTCATACCGCTGACAGGCGGCTCGTAAGCCTGACAGGCACTGGACGGTCTTCTCCAGTAGAATAGTTGACAGCGAAAATCGGCAAATTTGCAGCAGAGATAGTAAGGCATGATGTCGTGGTGAAATGTCGACAAACCAGGCACCTGGAATGGAATATGCGACACCTGCCAATGCACTCAGTAGGTAACAATTTGTAACAATAGAACTAAAGCGTTTTTTGTCGAATTATCGTAATATTGTAGACGCAGATGTAAAGCTAAACATAAAGCCCTCGGCGTTGATCAATTCCTGAGGGATGCGTCATGCATCCGACTTCATTAAGCATCGTTGGAGGTGATTGAATGCATATCTGGCCTTTACGATGACTCGCGGCAGCGTAGACAAGTCTGGTACCGATTTGCTGACCCCGGATGGATGGAGCGTTGGTGAGTTTGAAGCGAGGGGATCGATCTCATGTGTATTGCATGCCGCCCCATCACTGCTGCTCGTGGACCCAAATCTATGGCATTAAGTTCTAGTTAGCACGCTCATAAAGTCGCATTCATTCCAAGTTATGACGAAGACGCATTTGTTTGTTTTTGTTTTTTTTTGGGCAGCCCTGAGTTCCATAAGCAGCTGAGAATACTTAAAAATGGACTGTTACTGCTTCAGTCTTATATCATCATTTATAGATGCGAATCGAGCTATAACAATACTGCATGATTGTTCAAACACTCATGATTGCACGATCGCAAACTACTGGAAATTTGTCACAATATGGCGAAAACTGTTGAAAACTGACTATATTGATTAGAGCAAACGCGACATTCGTTCCGCATGAATCCTAGACGATGCAAGATAATCATGATGGCGGAGACCATGTATTAACTCCGCGAAGCATCACAAAGAAGGGGCTAGCGAGATGACAACCGAAGGACTGAACCAGTCTCACCTCAAACATTCCCTGAAACGGTGCGCTGCCGAGTTCAAACGCTCGCATCGGTACACCAGGTGAGTACGGTGTGCTTTCGTCGATCTGCAACAGTGAGCGATCGTAAGCTGTATCTGTAAGGTAACTAGTTGCCTACTTGAACATCACAGTTCTATTCAAACACTCTTTCACCTATCAAGAAAATGCATAGAACACTCAAAACCATAAGACCTATACATTGAAACAATTGGGATAACCTGTTTGAAGTCCAATAGAACGAATGGTGCCGTTAGAGGTGCTCTTAAATAACTTACAACAACAATAGATTTACACTAATAAGTTGACAGAGCAATTGCGTTTTACAAATGACTGTGATTTTTGCTATGTGAACTTAAACGAACACCACAATCGCTTTAACAAACAAGGCAATAAACTTCGCACTAAACATCAATTTGATATCGGCTCTGACAAGGACAATGCGGAAGAACAGGGCGAAATATCTCACTGAAACACAAGGAGAAGATGGACATTAATTTTGAATTGCAACAGCGCATTAGAGAGAAAAATAGACCCGTCAATTAATATACTTGTCGCTGTGAGCTGCAAAGGCTGAAACGCAAAGCAGTGAGCTTTTCTGGCGTTTCTGTGGTACTTCAAACAGTTTCTCAATTCCCAACTCAAAACTAGAGAAACTTAAGTTAGTCGGATTAGTTAGGCGTACGTGATGGAGTCCGTCGACGTTACCGCGCTTTATACAAACGTGTCGAATGACTCCGTAATGCAAGCCATCTTCGAACTCCTTCTACAACACGAAAGAGAAATAAACATGTATGGCTTCAAGATAGAGCAGTTGATGGCACTCTTTAAAGAATGCTTGAGCTGCTCTATCTTCAGATTGTCCGGAAACTACTACGCTCAAATAAGAGTGTTGGCAATGGGGCAACGACTGGCACCAAGTCTCGCCATTGCGTTTATATCTAAGGTGGAAGCCCCGGTGATTGATCTCGAGCCGCTACTCCACTGTAGATATATAGATGACTCTTTTGTCCTTTGCTCGACACAAGAGAAAACGGACAAGTGTTTCGAGTTGTTCAATAAACAGTCAGAGTATATCAAGTTCACCGGAGAAAAACCGAAAGAAAAATGGCTTCCATTCCTGAACGTCCAAATTAACCTATCAGAAAACGGCTACAATACGAAGTGGTACCGAAAGCCAAGTAGTAAAAACATCCTGGTACATTACCTCTCTTCTCACACCTCTCACACAAAAAGAGTGCTTGTAAGAAACATGTTTCGAACAGCAACTAACGTGTGCACGGGAAGAGAGCAGAGAGAGGAGTCCCGGAATTTGACGCGGCAAATAGCCATTTCCAATGGCTACGAAACTGTGGCTCGGGATAGGTGTAGGAGAAATCGGAGGCCCCCAAACGACAACTCTAGCGACAAAAAGGTCCCGTTTATCCTACCCTTCATCTCAAATGATATAAGTACAGCTATAAAACGCTGCTTAAGAAGGGCGGGTTTAGAGAATTCGGTACGCGTAGTTGAAATACCACCGAGTAATCTTAAGCGCCAGCTAGTTCGTAACCGCCTATATGACCGTCTATGTGCAACTCAAAATTGCATAATTTGCCCCAGTGGTAGAGACGGTGATTGCATGAGCTCGGGTATAGTTTATCTGATCTCCTGTAAGGCGTGCGGAAACGAATACATTGGCGAAACGGGCAGACCCCTCTGTGTCCGCATAAAAGAACATCTAGCCGGAAAACATAGACTAAATACCCCGCTAGACACGCATAGGCCCCAAGGCATAACGGGGAGGACTTTGAGTACGTGTCACGATCCTCGCGCAGGAATCAAGAACACAAGCGCGCAAAACTCTCGAGGCGTTCTGGATTAATTCCAGAAATCCGAAAATGAACGGCAGGGAAGAATGCCTCATTATCACGCGTGACATAGGGCAGTATATAAACCTGTTATTCTGAAGGGAGGGGCACATTACGCTTCCATGTGAATTCTGTGCGGTTGGTCTTCACGCGACATACTCAGAGGAAGACTCATAGAAAGCGGTGAGTGTGCGGAGCTGTGTTCAATGTGATTGAAATCTTGGTTTAGCGTTTTCTCTGTTTGGTTATGAAGGTGTTTGGCCAAATAGGCCATCAACTTGACCTTTCCAGGCTCTGAGGAAGGCGAAATCCGCCGAAACGTCAGCTTTTACTTGAGTGGGGAAGTGGAATAGCACCTCGTGTTTGCTGAACAGAAGTGGAAAAATTTCTGGGTCGAGTTACACAACTTAACGTGCCCTTACATGTACACTTATGTGTTTTTCTATGTATTTTCTGTACACTCATAAGAAAAATTTTCTTAATTATAGATTGTCGCATGAAATAACTGGATATGAAAATAAATGGAACTAAGCTACCTTAACCACAGGCTGATAAGTAGACTGCATTAAGAACCCTTGAGCATCGTAGCAGCAAGTCTGGCCGTAATGCGTGGTGTACGAGCTAAATTTTTGAGCCAAATTTGAAAACTAAGGCAAATTTGGGTTAAGAACCGATAGCGCTCTAGTTCAGCAGCGATCAATTGACTGTCACACAGCGAAAAAGAGGTGATCTGCCCTACCGACCTTTCCTCCTCTTGACCGACATAGTTCAGTCGGTACGTGGTGCCACGCACATTTTGCGCCGACATGTAGCAGTTCATCGAACCAAGCGTTTCTGTGCATGAAACATCCCGGAAAAGCTGAAATTTTATAAAAGCTGATAAATTCATGAGTAAAAACATAGACTCAGCAGCTTCATGTACAATTATTGATTAGAGAATAACAGTCCGGAATAGTGGAGAAGTGGAATGGGAAAAACAGAATAGTGACAGCCGTTTCTTCAGAAACGATTTAAATTACACAGGTTTTCACTTTGTACGAGTACACCATCCATAGGCAATGTTTTCACTCATATATGAACAAACACAACTGGAGCTGACAAGTCCGATGCACTTAACTGTGCTGCATCTCGGATGAGGCATGAAGCGTCCCACGTCCATTTTCGCTTGTTCCTCCTTGCAAGGGCAGCTAGCATTCGTTTCTGTTTCGCGAATGAAATTCGACAGCGCACCGTCTTCGTTGAACCATTCATGACACATTTCACTTGCCTAAAAATTACTTTGCAAAGAGATATTGGCCAAAGAGGACCGTAAAGTGAAAATCTGACAAGAGTTCAAGCGAAGTTAGCACTCATTCTTCGTCAACATAAAAGATAAATAAAGGATGAAGCTTTCAGCGTTGATCAATCCCTGAGGGATGCGCCGGTCCCCTACTTTGTATCCTATTAGCAAAAAGACAGATAATCACCCGATAACCCGAAAATATGAAACTATCGGAAAGGCGGTAATGGATTTGAACCTTTTCTTTCACAAATGTTAATTTTTCATGAACGTCTTGTTTGCTGCCAGTGAATTCACTGTCTGTCGGGAGCGTCCATAACCAATGCAGAGAAATTGGAGACGACATTATGCTGAAAGATCAATAGCTCTACAAAAATAAACTCCTGTGCGTAAAACACCATACGATCGACACCTCAAAAGATATAAGAAATTGTTCATAACATGGTCTAATTGTGGGAATAAATGGAGCGAAGTAATAAGTTCTTTCTTTCGAACCTATTTGAAACCCATTGTGTTCTGCACTGCTGGAACTTCCACTGTAAATTTTGCAACTTTTTGCTCCTCACTTCTGGACGTACTGGACAACACCCATTTTTATTATTAAGAAAGGATATGCCTTTCGCTCCTGAGATATAATTCACTCAACGTTCTTTTCTATTTGTTTGCTTACTTTCCTTGAAAAACTGCTTGAGAAAAGTCTTTTTAACGCGTGTTCTTAAACACACAAAAGTTTTCTGTTAGGCTGAAAAAGGGGAAATCGGATGAATTGATACTGAATTTACCCATCGGGAAGATCCACAATTCGACTCCCACTTATTGGAGGAGACCCATCCGTTGGTACGATTGGTGTCAATTTGAGGTATCCAAACCTAAACTTTCGTGTGATGATTTGGCGGTGGAACTCTCTAAAGATATTTTATGAAATAGTTTGAGAAGGAACACTTACCTATAGCTAAACAAATCATGCCGCATTTCATATGGACTTAGGTACCACTCGTCAACCCTGTCCAAATTGTAACTTTCAATGATTGGATTCCATCTGAGAGTTTCATCGACTCTATTTTGATAAGTAGCCAGCCTGGCAATAACGAAGTCTTATAGGTCGTCAGAGCCTCACCAATATAATAATAATCCGTCTTAGCCTAGCATTTAGCAGAAGAAAAACATGATTCTGCTCATACTGCACATCGAGGAGGCCGTGTCACAAATTTGGTATTTACCTACTTCAAATTACATACCAATCAACAAACGTTTTTCCAAGAAGGGTACAAAAATAAAACACCACGATTATATCTTTCTACTTCTATTCAGCAAACACGAGGTGCTATTTTAATTCTTTATTTACGCACAAGCTGACGTTTGGGCGGATTTCGCCTTCCTCAGAGCCTGGAAGGGTCAACTTGACAGCAATCCATTCGGCCAAACACCTCTACAACCAAACAGAGAAAACGCTAAGCCAAGATTTCAATCACATTTAGCATAGTTCTGCACGCTCACCGCTTTCCATGAGTCTTCCACTGAGTATGTCGCGTGAAGACCGACCGCACAGAATTCACATGGAAGCGTAATGTGCCTCTCCCATCAGAATAACAGGTTTATATACTGTCCAATATCACACGTGATAACGAGGCATTCCTTCCTACGGTTCATTTTCGGATTCTTGGAATTAATCCAAAATGCCTCTAAAGTTTTGCGCGCTTGTGTTCTCGATTCTTGCGCGAGGATCGTAACCCTTACTTCAAAATCTTCTCCGTTATGTTTCTGCGCGCTATGCGTACCTAGTGGAGTACTTGGCTTACGTTTGCCGACTAGGTGCTATTTTATACGAACGCGGAGTGGTCTACCCGTTTCGCCAACGTATTCGTCCCCGCGCGCTTTACAAGAGATCAGATAGACTGTACCCGAACTCATGCAGTCACCGTCTCTACCATTGGGGCAAATTATGCAATTTTGCGTTGCACATAAATGGTCGTATAGGCGGTTACGAACTAGCTGGCGCCTTAGATTATTTGGTGGTATTTCGATTATCGTTACCGAATTCTCTAGACTGGCCCTTCTTAAACAGCGTTTTATAGCTGCACTTACTTCATTTGAAATAAAGGGCAGTATAAACGGGACCTTGTTGTCGCTAGAGTTATCGTTGGGGTACCTGTGGTTTCCTCTACACCTATCTGGAGCTACGGTTTCGTAGCCATTAAAAATGGCTATTTGCCGCGCCAAGTTCCGGGACTCCTCTCTCTGTTGTCTCCCTGTGCACACGCTGGTAGCTGTTCGATACATGATTCTCACAAGCACCCTTTTAGTGTGAGAGCGATGAGAGGAGAGGTAATGAACTAGGATGTTTTTATTAGTTGGCCTTCGATACCACTTCGTAATGTAGCCGTTTTCTGATAGGCTAATTTTCACGTTCAGAAATGGAAACCAGCCTTCTTCTAGTTTCTCTCGGGTGAATTTAATATACTCTGACTGTGTGTTCAACAACTCGAAACATCTGTCGATTTCTTCTTGCGTTGAACAAATGACCAAGCAGTCATCTATATATTTACAGTAGAGTAACGGACCGAGGTTGATTACTGGCGCTTCCACCTCAGACATGAATGCAATGGCAAGGCTTGGAACCAGTCGTTGTCCCATTGCCAGCCCTCTCATTTGTGCGTAATACCTCCCGGACCATCTGAAGATTGAGCAGTTCAGGCACTCCTTTAAGAGTGTCATCAACTGCTGAATCGAGAAGCCGTACATGTTTATTGCTCCTTCGTGTTGTATAAGGAGCTCGTTTATGGCTTGCATAGCGGAGTCATTCGACACGTTCATTTAGAGGGCAGTGACGTCGAAGGACTCCACCACGTACGCGCTGTTGGGTAGCGCGTTACGTAGACGATCCAGGAACATTTGGGTGTTCGTTAGATGAGCTGGAATGTACTTCAACAACTGAGTGAGTATTAGAGGTCATTAACCACGTTATTCTATTCGTTGACCCGTCCACGCAGCTAATGATAGGTCTAACCTTAAATAACGATGGATCGGTAGACACGAGATCATCGCTGGATACTAACTTATGGGTTTTGATAAGTAAGTACAGGACGGGACATATTGGTAACTCAATTTAGAACACCTAGTCGGCAAACATAAGCTAAGTACTCCACTAGGTACGCATAGCACGCAGAAACATAACGGAGAAGATTTTGAAGTAAGGGTTACGATCCTCGCGCAAGAATCGAGAACACAAGCGCGCAAAACTTTAGAGGCATTTTGGATTAATTCCAAGAATCCGAAAATGAACCGTAGGAAGGAATGCCTCGTTATCACGCGTGATATTGGACAGTATATAAACCTGTTATTCTGATGGGAGGGGCACATTACGCTTCCATGTGAATTCTGTGCGGTCGGTCTTCACGCATCATACTCAGTGGAAGCGGTGAGTGTGCAAAGCTGTGTTCAATGTGATTGAAATCTTGGTTTAGCGTTTTCCCTGTTTGGTTATGGAGGTGTTTGGCCGAATGGATTGCTGTCAACTTGGCCCTTCCAGGCTCTGAGGAAGGCGAAATCCGCCGAAACGTCAGCTTGTGCGTAAATAAAGAGATAAAATAGCACCTCGTGTTTGCTGAACAGAAGTAGAAAGATATATTCAATCAATGCCGAGGTTAATAGAAAGTCGGACTTGGGAGTTACATCACGATTAATTTTATTTTTTCTACGAAAATTTTATGATGGAAGATTATATTCGGGGATGTTATTAAACTTTTTATTAACGAAAGCTGAAGTTTCGGCGAATTTCGCTCCTTTTTCGGAGCTTTGTAAGATCAAGTCAACTACATTCTAACGGGGCAAATACTTCCATAACCCTAACAAGAAAAGCGCGAAACCTACACTTCCATCGTTGGAAACAAAGCAGCTCCTTCACATATTCACCATTTTCTATGAATCTTCCACTGAGTACTCCACGGTCGCACAGAGTTCACATGGAAGCGTAGCGTGTCTCTCACATTAAAATATCAGTCTTAAATACTGTGTGAAGTCGCGCATGATTTCAAGGCATTCCTCTTTGCTGTTCACTTCCGGATTCATGAAATTTATCGAGACTGCGTCCAGAGTTTTTGCACTTAAGTCTTGGTTTCCCTAACGACAATGGTATGGTTCCGTGCTTCCAAAATCGTCTGTTATGTCTTTGTGTCCCATGCGCGCTTAGTGAAGTATTTTGTTTAACTCTATGCCTACCCTTTAGGTGGTCCTTCATACGGACACAGAGTGGCCTACCAATTTCGCCAATGTGTTCGTCCGTGCACGCGTTACGAGGGATCAGGTATACAGTATGTGAACTTACGTATTGACCGTCTCTAGTATTAAAGGAGATCATGCAATTTTGCGTTGTGCATAGAATCTCACAAGCATTTCAATTACTGCTACTGAATTCTAGGTCGCCCCTTCTTAAGCAATGTTTTACAGCCAAACTTATTTCGTTAGAAATAAACGGTAGAACAAACGGGCCATTATTATCGCTAGAGTTATCGTTTGGCGGCTTGGGTTTTCCTCTACACCTATTCTGAAGAACTGCACTTTCGTAGCCATTGGAAATGGCCATTTACCGCGCCAATTTTAGGGATTCTTATTCCAGTTATCTACTCATGCAAATACTGGTGACTGCTCGAAACTCGTTTCTCAAATCAGCGTTTTTTGGGTGGTTACGTGGGTAGGTGAGCGGGTGGGTCGGTGGGTGAGTGAGTGAGTGGGTGCGTGTGCGTGCGTGTGTGTGCCTGTGTCTGTGGTGTCTGCGAGAGAAGAAGAGTTTTGCGGGGTTTGACTACTACAGAGATTGTAAGACCACAGCGCCACACTCTCTCGCTGAGCAACAGTTTTGGCGGTGTTGAACGAATACATGGGGTATCCTTAAGCGGTAGATCGACGCTGACAGCCTTACTCTTTAAAGCTTTATAAAATATTTCACAATAAACATTAGTGGATGGAACTTTGTTGTTCACTGTTTAAAAGCTCATTTCTTACGTAACTGTCTACTGCACAAGTTTTTTATAGTCAATTTCCAATTGGTTTAGAATGGTTGAAATGATGCCCATAGAGGAAGAAAGTTGTGTCGCCTCGTCTCATGATTGCAATTTGAACACAACAGAACGATGGCAACTTGAAATTTCATCTGAAAGGGAGAAGAAAATCGATGAAACGCATTAAAATTGCAGCAGATGTGCCAAGAATTAATCAAGAGGATACGTCCGGTCCTAGTGAATGATCAAATCAACCGTACGCCGCACAACCTACGTTGCCGAAGCTGAACGAAATGTCGAACATTTAAATCTTTTGGCCAAGATATTCGGTTCACCCGCTTCACCCACTTCACACGTTTTGGTTAGCACCTACTTAGAACTCTACAGTACGCTCAAATGGTACTTCGTTTTCTTAGAACCCTGAGGAAACAATTCTTCGTATTTTTGTTGAGCAAACACGAGATGTTATTATTCTTTATTCACGAATAAGCTGACGTTTCGGCGGGTTTCAACTTCCTCAGAGTCTGGAAAGGTCAAGTTGATAGCAATCTACTCGGCCAGACGCTTCCATAACCAAACAAAGAAACTCTAAACGAAGATTTCAATTACATTGAATGCAGCTCAGCACACTCACCGCTTTCAATGAGGTTTCCACTAAGTATGTCACGTAGAGGCCAACCGCACAGAAATCACATGGAAGCATAATTTGCCCCTCCCATCAGAATAGCAGTCTTATATACTGCCCTATATCACGCGTGATAATGAGGCATTCTTCCCTGCGGTTCATTTTCGGATTTCTGGAGTGCCTCGAGAGTTTTTCGCGCCTGTGTTCTTGATTCGCGTGCTAGGATCGTCGTGAAATATACTTCAAAGTCCTCCCCGTTACGTCTCTGGGTCCTATGCGTGCCTAGCGGAGTATATGGTCTATGTTTGCCGGCTAGGTGTTCTTTTATGTGGGACACAGAGGGGTCTGCCCGTTTCGTCAATGTATTCGTCACCGCACGTCTTACAGGAGATCAGATAAACTAGACCCGAGCTCATGCAATCACCGTCTCTACCAATGGGGCAAATTATGCAATTTTGAATTGCACATAGACGGTCACAGAGAACACCGTCCGAACACAGGCGCGAAAAACTTCGAGGTATTCTGGATTAACTCCAGAAATCCGAAAATGAACCGCAGGGAAGAATGCCTCATTATCACGCGTGATATAAGGCAGTATATAAGACTGCTATTCTGATGGGAGGGGCACATTATGCCTCCATGTGATTTCTGTGCGGTTGGTCTCTACGTGACATACTTAGTGGAAACCTCATTGAAAGCGGTGAGTGTGCAGAGCTGTATTCAATGTGATTGAAATCTTCGTTTAGTTTCTTTGTTTGGTTATGGAGGCGTCTGGCCGAGTAGACTGCTATCAACCTGACCTTTCCAGGCTCTGAGGAAGGCGAAACCCGCCGAAACGTCAGCTTGTTCGTGAACTAAGAATAATAACACCTCGCGTTTGCTCAACAGAAATACGAAGAATTACTTGATCAATGCCGAGGTTAATAGAAAGTCGGTCGTGGGAGTTCCTGAGGAAACAATTTGGATTGATTCTGTTCCGAAACGCAGAAAGTCATACGAAGAAAAAGCAGCATACACGACTGGATGTGCTTTAGAAAAAAAGAAATTTTGGTGTAAATTTTGGTAAAGAAAGGTAAGAATCTTTATACACTCTCGGTCAGCAAGACCTGAGAATATACACAAATTCTACAGATATAGTACCATAGAATAATTCCAAGGATAGGAAGTAGTAAGAGCAAGAAAAGGAAGCGATTCAAACAAATACAGAACTCCAAACACAAACTTACCTGGCAAGAACTCGATGGTGAGGTACAAATTTACGCAAATTGTCGTCTTGTGCCTCTTTATAGCCGACAACGTAAAGGCCAAGAGTGACCCTGTAGATGGCATCGTCGAAATAGTTCACAGTTTCACCAGTACCGAATGTGCGTGGAACGGTAAAATTTCGCGGATACCTGAAGTAATAACTGCTCCAATTCTTTAAACAGGTCTGCTTCTCGCACCGAAATTACTGAAAAGGAGGACCGAGGTCAGCTATTTGATGCCTTCACCTGCTGTTTTGGATTTTTCCCTAAATTATTAAAGATCCTGGGGCAGACTTTGTCCAGGCTGACCTTGGGATTCCACGGAACCATAATGGCTTAACCAGTAAATCCCAGATAAATGGAGATTGTGCTGGGGCCTGCACAACCACACAACCAATGATGATAGGCCATTCAAGTGTCAAGTATTAGAGATCAGGAACGGCGACTTAATAATTTTTTTCCCAACCTACGTATAAAACAAAGTGCTGCACAAATATCCAAGTAAAACAATTTAATGCTTGTATCAAATAAACATCCCTTAAACCCACAGACCCACATACGCGAACGGTGATGACTCCACAAAGCTAAGTTTCAAATGTAGACGACCTGAAAGTAACATCAACTTTCTTTGAAGCTTTGATCCAAGCGACTAGCTCACTGCCATCAGAACTGCAGCACAAATATACAGTTTTATCACCGACCCCTCACAATATTCATAAGAAAAGCGGCTCGACAGGGCGATACAATATCCTCAAAGGTGTATACTACCGCGCTGCAGTGGATAATGAAGTCATTCGATTGAGATAAGAGTACTCGCGGAAAATTCTTATCAAATTATCGTTTCGCGGGTGACCTCGTAACCGAGGAGTACCAGTGAAGCACAGACGAAGCTGAATGAATTCAACGAAGCCGGAAAAAAGATTGGAGTGGGCATGACTAGAACGAAGAACCTGTTCACGAAGAACAAATCTTGCGAAGGTGAACAAATCGAACTGGATAGTTCTCTAATTACAAAAACTAACTTGTGTATTGAGCATGAAGAACAGCATGAAAAAGGAATTAGAAAAGGAAAGAGCAGCATGGGCTGCATTCGAGCCACTCAAAGATGCCCCACCGACCAACTAAGGAACCCGAAAATCCGCGCTCAGTTTTTCGAATCAACAGTGCTCCCAGCGTTCTGTTATTTATGCAGCAGAGACGTGGAATAGTACGTCAACCCACGTCAAGAATATTACGCGCCACTCATAGAGTGCAGAGTGCCTGAACAATGTCTTCTGAAATTTAATCGGCACTTTTGTCTAGCCGGAATGCGCAGGTCTGATCCTCAAAACGTCTTCCATCTTCAGGATCCAAGAGATAGAGAGATAGCAAAACACAGATGAGTTGCGACATAATAAGAACAAATGACAGATGGAATAAAAAACAGTGGAACGCAGTCCGAAAGAGCGCAGGCATTCTTTTGAAGACCACCCAAACATTTGGCGGACATATTCGTGGCTAACGTCAACCATCCGTACTCGCAGATGGAAACGATATTAGGATTACAGAATGGGTTCTGCGGACTTAACCGTGTTTGAAGCGGACCACCACTATGGACGATGACTTGGCGAAAGAGAAACAGAAATTACACAGGTGCTCACACTGGCAGTGGAGACAGGCCATCCAAGTAACAAAGTAGGCAAGTTTAATTCAAGTGGTCTTTACATGACTATCTCAAAATTTCCAAGAAAAGAGAAAGCTTAGAAAATACAAAAACACTACTGAAGTCGAAATTATCCCAAGCTCTGCACTATTTGTGAAAACGGCTAACGAAACGTCAAAAGTATGAAGGTGTTTAAGTTAAAGAAGTAATGCGTCGTTTTCTTGTTCAGCAATCGCGAGGTTTTTAAACAGCATACATTTACTTCCATAGAAAAACACAATACAATACAACACTAGCTGACGTTTCGGCAGTATCGCCTTCTTCAGAGCCTGGAAGGGTATACTGATATACAATCTACAAGGCCAAACGCTTCCATAACACTTACAAAAAGACGAATAACTCTATAGTAATTACATGATCCACAGCTTCTTGAGAAACCCACCGCTTTTTACGTGACTTCCAATGAGGAAGTTTAGAACAGCTGATTATAGTCGTATATGGTTGATAACTGCACCATTCCACATCAGAAATTGATGCGAAGATACGGGGTCAGGTCGCGTGTGACCTCTGGGCATTCCTCCTTGCTATTCATTGCAGGGTTTTGGCATTTATCCAAAAAGCTTCAAGAAGTTTTCGCGCTGGTGTTTTAGTCTCCTGTGCAAGGATATTGACTTTTACTTCAAAATCGTCTCCGCTATGCTTTTGTATCCTATGCGTGCCTAGTGGGGTGCTTCGTCTTAGTTTTCGTTTGCCATCTAGGTGCTCTTTTATACGGATACACAAAGGTCTGCCCATTTCGCCAATATATTCATCTCCGCAATTAATACAAGAGATCAGGTATATCGTACCTAAACTCATGCAATCACCGTTCCTGCCGTAAGGGAAAACTACGCAATTTATTGTTTCACATAGACGGTCATACAGGCGGTTACGAACTAACCTAACGACGTAGAGTAGCCGGTGATATTTCAACTATCGCTTCCGATTCCTCTAGACGTGCCCTTCTTAAGCATCGTTTAATAGCTACGCTTACTTCATCGCTTATAAAAGGCAACATAAACGGGACTTTCTTTTGGCCAAGTATTTCTTTTTGGCCTGTCGCTCTCCTTCTAAACTTATCTCGCGGGGTTACTATTTCGTAGCCATTGGAGATGGCTATTTGCCGAGCCAAGTCGAGTGACTCTTCCTTTAGTTCCCTGGTAGTGCACTGCGCGCTGAGATGGCTCTTCGAAACATGTTTCTCACAATCGCCCTCTTTGTGTGTGAAGGGTGGGAAGAAAGAAAATGAACGAGGATGTTTTTGTTACTTGGCTTTCGGTACCACTTTGTCAAGTAACCGCTACTTGATAGGTTTATTTGAACGTTCAAAAACGGAAGCCAGTTTCTTCTCGGTTTCTCCCGGGTAAACTTCATGTACTCAGACTGTTCGTTCAATAATTCAAAGCATTTGTCCATCTCCTCCTGCGTAGAGAAGACGACAAAACAATCATCTACATATCTGCAGTAGAGTAGTGGCCGGAGATCGAGAACAGGGGCTTCTATCTTAGACATAAACACAATGGCAAGGCTTGGCGCCAATCGCTGTCCCATTGCCAACCCCCTTATTTGCGTGAAATATTTCCCAGACCATCTGAAAATCGAGCACTTCAGGCATTCCTTTAAGAGAGCCATTAGCTGCTGGATGGACAAGCCATGCATATTTATTCTTCTTTCATGTTCAACAAAAGTTCGAAGATGGCTTGCATTGCGGAGTGATTCGATACGTTGGTGTACAGCGCGATAACGTCGAACGACTCTATCACGTACGCGTTATTAGGAGACGCGTTAGGGTGTTCGTGAGGTGGGCTGGAATGTGGTTAAGCAACTGGGCAAGTATCAGGCTTAAAAACCAGGTTATTCTATCCGTCGGCCTGTCTACACAGCTGATGTTCGGTCTAACCTTAAATGATGACGGATTGGTTGACGCATGATCATCAGGTGATACCAACTTATGTGTTTTAACAAGTAAGCAAAACACGGGACATGCTGGTTTAATGATTTTAAAGTGCGAAATACCGATGATTTTAAACCCTCAGCCACCCTTTTCCTTTCTTCCCACCCTTAACAAACAAAGAGGGCAATTGTGAGAAACATGTTTCGAACACCCATCTCTGTGTGTACTACCAGGAACTAAAGGAAGAGTCACGCGACTTGGTTCGGCAAATAGACTATGAAATAGTAACCCCACGAGATAAGTTTAGAAGGAGAGCGACAGGCCAAAAAGAAATACTTGGCCAAAAGAAAGTCCCGTTTATGTTGCCTTTTATAAGCGATGAAGTAAGCGTAGCTATTAAACGATGCTTAAGAAGGGCACGTCTAGAGAAATCGGTAGCGATAGTTGAAATACCACCGCCTTCTCTACGTCGTTAGTTCGTAACCGCCTGTATGACCGTCTGTGTGAAACAACAAATTGCGTAATTTGCCCTTGCGGCAGACACAGTGACTGCATGAGTTTAGGTACGATATACCTGATCTCTTGTATTAATTGCGGAGATGAATATATTGGCGAAATGGGCAGACCTTTGTGTATCCGTATAAAAGAGCACCTAGATGGCAAACGAAAACTAAGACGAAGCACCCCACTAGGCACGCATAGGATACAAAAGCATAGCGGAGACGACTTTGAAGTAAAAGTCAATATCCTTGCACAGGAGACTAAAACACCAGCGCGAAAACTTCTTGAAGCTTTTTGGATAAATGCCAAAAACCCTACAATGAATAGCAAGGAGGAATGCCCAGAGGTCACACGCGACCTGACCCCGTATCTTCGCATCAATTTCTGATGTGGAATGGTGCAGTTATCAACCATATACGACTATAATCAGCTGTTCTAAACTTCCTCATTGGAAGTCACGAAAAAGCGGTGGTTTTTTCGAGAAGTTGTTGATCATGTAATTACCAAAGAGTCTTTCGTCTTTGTGTAAGTGTTATTGAAGCGTTTGGCCTAGTAGATTGTATATCAGCATACCCTTCCAGACTCTGAAGAAGGCGATACTGCCGAAACGTCAGCTAGCGTTGTATTGTATTGTGTTTTTCTATGGAAGTAAATGTATGCTGTTTAAAACCTCGTGATTGCTGAACAAGAAAACGACGCATTCATATTTCAATGCTGAGGTTAATAAAAAGTCGATCCTTGGAACTATTAAAGAAGTAAAATTTCGTGCACCATGCTACAACATCCTGAGTAATTCGTAGCATAATAAGAACTTTTAAAACGAAGAAGAAAAGTTCCAAGACATGCCATTTGATTCTCATCTGATTTGGAGGCGGGTTGAGATACCATGAATGGATGTCTCCGATGTCAAGTCGCATAGGGTCCAGTGTTGGTGGAACTGCAACTATTCTCATTGAAAACATCGAGGTGAATAGTAAGAATACCTACTGCCCAAAAATTGAGAAATTTTTTTTCGCACATTATTTCCTGCTTACGAGTGATCGAACGAAATGGTAGAATGAAAACTTATTTTACCCACCAAAATAAATAAATCCTACATAGGCTTTTTCGTCGTTGGACAAGCCTGATTGAGGTTGGAAGTATACGGTCTTCGTGCCCCAATCCAAAATTTTCGGCAACGTACATCGAGCAATCGATGGATTCAGAATCTCACATTTGGCCATCTGTAACTTTTCAACCATTTCAATTCACACTATCGTACATGTTTGTCCCACTACGTTGCTACCGAGAGAAATTGCAAAGCATGAAAAGTGCAAAAGATTTAAAACATAAGGAGCCACAGTTGTCACATTCTGGTGAAGTTTCTTGACTGGACCTTTTCAATAAAGTTGTAAAGACTTTTGCTGTACTTTTTCTCGACATAAAAACCATCACACATTACCTGACGCTGTTCGATCATCAATACGTAGGTGACCGCTGGGTTTAAACACATTCCGTTTACGTCGACTTTTGTCTGACCTAACATCGTCACAATGTTCGGATAGATGAGAAGAGGGACTGTAAACCTCCAATTAACTCAAGTTGAATAATGAATTTTGGGTGCTCACTACACCCAGTGCTTCGAAAGGAAATAAAAACGACAAGTGATTATTCAAAACAACCATAATACTGAGGAAACTCGAAACAGAGATATAAGTAGCCGTCATTTTCAATGTTAAATAAAAATTTTGTGGGAAATGCACACCGATTTCTAACTAAATTTATAATGAAAGGTTAATCAGCGAGTCTTTAAAGGTTACAAAAAACCAAACGTTTCCATTCAAAAGCCCAGTTCTAGTGAACCAGTGTCATGAATCACTGCTATGTGGGAAATAACAAAGTGCCTGGGTAGAAAGTGGTCGCGACCTGGAGAAACCGTAATAACAGGCTTACAAATGCAGGTGAAGGAAGTCTTACCTAAACAGAAAATTACCACCCAAATGTAAATTGAGCTGGGTAGAGTACTCGTGATTCCACACGTAGCAATGCGATGATTCAGGAGGCATTACTCATCTTTTCAAGCTTATTAAATGTAGCAAATAATGTTAAAAGAACAGTATTCACAGCGTACATCAGCTCAACCGCACGTCTTCCATTAACACTCTCCCAGCAAGGCCTAATCTCGCTTTTCTACAGAGTAGATGACATCCAATTCTTCGCTGTGCTCACCGTGACATATATGGATGTCACACCGGCCACCGCGAGAATTTTTATACGGCCCCGTCCCTTTGTTGAGATTTCCGTTCTATAAATTAGTTTTCCTCCCCGTCTTACAAGAATTTCTGCACTTCTCTTATTTTATATATGCTCGATGTTCTTCTTTACACCGTTCCATGTTTTTGGCGGATTTACAACTCTTGTGTGTGACAAAAAAATTCATCCTCTCCGCAATCACGTTGTTCTCAGCATTTGATGGAATTGTAAAAGCTCTACAAGGAATACCACAATGTTTACGTTGCGGTCTCTCGTTCCAAACAGTCCCAAAAATCATCAAAGCAATTGAAAATTTGATACCAACGAAACGATTCTCCAGAATGACGCTGCGCGCTGCATGCGATTCCAGTTCTTCGATAACTCTGCACAATTTTCAGTTAATGGTGCGTTTCAGGAGATGGCGCATCAACAGATTTATAGAAGTTTTGCAACATCGTTCTATGAGTACGTATGTTATACAATAGTTTGAAGGAAGCAATAGTTTCGTAGTTTGGTGAGATTCATTATAGGCTTCCTTACTTATGTTATGTGACTTATTCAAGCATGTTTTAGAAGTCCTTGTACTGCCTCGTCAACACCACAATAAATCGAAAGCTTCAATTAACGAAAATTGCTTGCGAGTACAAGAGGGTACGTATTTACATTAGAAAACTTTCTCTTAACCTCGGCATAAACAATCGATATATATATATATATGTAATATACAAAAAACCCTGGTGCTAGTTCGATTTCACTCCGGGCCAGCCAAGCCTCTCATCGCTCTGGGTTCGAGAAATTTGAATCGGCCTTATCTGGGAAAAAATCACTCTCTGCAATCCAACTGGGAACGGCCCAGCCCTGCAATCTCAGGACTCCAGGAAGAAATGTTCGACCAGAAATCCTCAAGCAGCAACCGGAGCCACACGTAAAAGTTTGAAGATCTTCGTGGACAATGAATGTAAGGAAACGAATAGAATGTGAGAAGTGTTGAGATCAGCACAGTAGATTTGAAGACGGATCAAATAAAATAAAGTAAAAAATATACAAAACCACTAAATAAGTCGAATTTATACATTAAGACATGTAGATGAGACTCACATGTACCACCAGTCTTATTACTGCAACCAGCCGGTCGGACGATGTCGTCAACTCGATGAAAATATCTAAACTCTTCATGAGTTGCGACTAATTAAGCAAACAATCGTGCCATTAAGAAACCCTTATCTACTAACCTTCCTCTGACGATATGAGGCACCGAGGAGCGAGAAGCGAGTGACGATGGTTGCTGCTTTGTTATTTCTAACAGATCAACTTGCACCGATCCAGTGTGGTTGCCGCCGTTGAAAATTGCCCAAAATATGCACAGACGTGCTTTATTGCCTAATCTTAAGGTATTATAGACATGAGAAAAGATGTGGCCTAGATTTAAGATAAACTCACATGCTACTGCAATAGAAAGTAGGATATGTTTAGAACACCTCTGAGACAGAAAGAAGACCAACCCGTTCCACAGCAAACTCAGATCTAGTGACAAGGAAAAGTAAGCTCTTTCTAATACCTGACACCTTCCTGTGCGTGAATTTCCATGGATATCTGCGGCATCGTAGCCGAGTTTATAGTAATTGATCATCGTGTACGACAGAAGACCCTAAACTCATATGTCAGAAATAGGAACCAGGGTGACGAGTACGAGAAATAGACCAAGAAACAACTGTCTGTAATACCATCCAACACTCCGCACTGAAGCTATCTATAGAGAATTTGCCTATGCCACCTTCTAACTCATGAGCAAATGAAGTAAAATAAGTATGCGAACTCATATATGTGTGTGGGGCGGATAGCACAGTGGTAGCGATGTCAATCATCATGACCATGGTGCTAGATCGATTCCGCTCTGGACCAACCAAGCCTATCACCCCCCGGGGTCGGAAAATTGGTACCGGACCTGCCCGGGAAAAAAATCACTCTCTGCAATCCAATTGGGAACGCTCCAGCCCGGCTATCTCAGGACTCCAGGGAGAATTGCTCGACCAGCATTCTACGACATTCAAGATGAAATGAAAATCCTCAAGCAGCAACCGAAGCCAAACGTTAAAAAATGGAAAGCCTTCGTGGACAATGGATGCGAGGAAGTGAATGTGATGTGAGAAGTGCTGGGACCGCAAAGCAGACGTGAATACGGATCAAATAAGATAAAATTGAATAAATTAAAAAAATATATGTATGTATAACTATTATGCATGCACACTCTCGAAGCACCTGAGCATCAGACATCCATACAAGCTGAAAAGTGGACAAGCCATGTTCACTTCCGATGTTCGGCCGTAGGTTTCTCCACGTCACGACCAGAGCCGCTTCAGCACGAAAAGTGGAGCCACCGGCAACGCCCTCTAAAAAGGACGTGGATACTAAAGCACTGATAATGATTTTCATATTTAAGTTGCTTCCCACTATGTAGAAAAATGCACGAAAGACATCTGGATCAACAAAGGTGCAAAGTTAGTGAAACGAGAATATAACTTTTATGCAATATGTTCCATCTGGCAAAAAGCATGACTACATGAGAAATGAAGACTGTTACAACCACAATGACGCAGCGATGTTTAGAAAACTCCGGACCGCAGCTCTTTGCATTAGGAAATGAACGCACTATTACTCTTTCTGGGGCTAACGCGTTCACCATCACATCATGATCGTCCCTCTTTCCACTTTTCTCTGCCCTGCCGTGAAAAACTGTAAAAGGCAGTAAATAAACTAACTAAGATTGCAGTTTGTAAAAAAAACAATGCCCAGATACACGTGCAACATTTTTATTTCCTTATTTGAATGCCCATAAATATCTTGTAATAGTTCCCAGGATCGACTTTCTCTTAACCTCGGCATTGGAATATGAATGTGTCGTTTTCTTGCTCAGCAATCGCGAGGTTTTTAAACAGCATACATTTACTTCCATAAAAACACAATACAATACAACGCTAGCTGACGCTGATTATAGTCGCATCTGTTGTGTTCTAGCTGTTCTGCACAGCTGTTCTAAACTTCCTCATTGGAAGTCACGAAAAAGCGGCTCTGAAGAAGGCGATACTGCCGAAACGTCAGCTAGCGTTGTATTGTATTGTGTTTTTATGGAAGTAAATGTATGCTGTTTAAAAACCTCGCGATTGCTGAGCAAGAAAACGGCCCATAAATATCTTTCTTTAACCAAAATGAATGCATGAGAAGAAGTGGAAGTATACTACCCTGATAACGACCATAATTCATCTGAATAATGAATCACAATACAATTGCGCTAACTTGTGCAACGAAGAGACAGTAATGATTACCATAATGAAGCCGAGATATTTGCAAAACTCCGGACCGCAGGTGTCTGCGGTGGGGAACGAACGCGCTATTGTCCTTTCCGGGGAGTAATGCGTTCACCACCACACCATGAGGGTCCTTCGTTTCGCCTTTCCCTCAGCTAGTTCTATCGATCACTTCCCATCAGCAATCTCACCCGTCAACGGGATTGATCTGTGGGGCCCAAATCAGCATTGAACCCCGAAGACACCTGCGTTCCGGAGTTTTGCAAATATTTCAGCATCATTGTGGTTGTTTCACACCCCCGACGTGAAAACTTGTAAAAGGCAGTAAATAAAAAGTGAACATAGTAATGATTACTTCGCTTCCAGTAGTGAAAGAAAAGATGAAAGAGGAAAAAACAAGAAGAAGATCCAGCTATAGTTTTCTATCTTTGGCAAAAAAAAATGCTGGAAGAAAGAAAGGAACATGTGGATTGTCAGTGAACAATTCGTTTCTTATTAGCAAAAACAAGCGCTCGATAGAAAAAAGGCAAAGAGAAAAGGGTGAGTGCCCAGAAAATCAACGAACTTCACATTCTCCCTCATACCACTATTGCTGAGCAACTATTATCCGGAACAGACGGCAACGGCCCTCTATTTAAGTGATAATAACTTACGCTGCAGTGCCCTCTCCAAAGCATCGAGGAATTGCTCGGACTGGTCGTCACAACGGAAGTGAGCTGGTTTGCCAAGACACGGAGGACGGCCGGACAATAAATCTCTACCTGGCAATGAGTGCCTACCGAAGAAAAGAAATGAGATAATTGGGAAAACGAAACACGAACGAGAAACTAAATCCAGATGATTTTTCTAAAACCTACTCCGCACGGAACCACAAGCAAGTGAAAATCTATTTTTGTGTGCCCAGTTAACCCGATATATCCATAGCCAATAAAGGAATTCTACTTGGACACAAAAAGACGTCCTTACCAGGTTGTACAGGTCCTCTGCGAGTTTCCACTCGATAAAACACTCTCGAGTCGACACCTTGACCACTTTGAATGCGCTGTCTATCAAAAAAAAATAAACAAATAAATAAATAAAGATGAGAATAAATCATCAATCTATTTGAAAATATCACAGAGCAAAAATATGAGTGTCTTTTCCGTAAGCACAGTTATTGAATGTAACAGTTATAAAACTGACTTGCAGAGGTAAGGTGCGATAAGGGCAGGATCGCTCTGAGTAGGCCAGTCGACATCCAAACCCAACTGGAGCGTGGACGAGTCATCCGAGAAGGATGCAAAGCTGATATAGCCGTTGGTGGAGATCTAGTGGCAGAAGCTTTAAATGCAGTTCACAAAAATGAACACTAGCTACTATAGCATTAATACGATTAAGAATGCTAAAAGTACTAATATAATTGGAAGATGAATATACAGAATTGAAAATCAATGAAAACACAGCGCTAGAAATAAAACGGTGCGATTTCTAAACAGTAGCCATGATAAGTAAGGACGCGTGTAGCGCAGTGGTCGGAGACTCCCTGCAACACGCACGGGATCGATTCCTGTGCCTCAGGTTCACCAAGCCTTCCATCCCTTCGGCGTCTGCAAATTGGTACCAAACTTGTCTGTGAGGATAGCAGCACTTGCTCGATACATCGGTAGAACACCGCGAGTCATCGTCAATGCCAGATATTCATTCAATGAACTTCAACGATGCTTAATGAAGTCCTATGCATGGCGCATCTCTCAGAGATTGATCAACGGCGAGAGATTTTTCTTAAGCATAGCTAATTAGAATTCAAAATAATGTCATGGCAATTCAGGTGGGGAAAGCGAAGATCATTAAACTATTGTATTTTTATATTATACCAAATTATTGCAGTGAGTCTTAATTAATGCTTAATTCCCAATCAACGCCATCTGAAGCCTCCGTGATTTGGACACTTCCAACAATTCTTTCTTCATTGGGTGTTTAGACGACACCATTCCTTTCCACATAATTTATGACCTGGACCTCGTTTCCGTGCTTACCATTGTATAGTTGTAACGTCCGCCATAGAATGGAAAGAAATTATGCAGACGAATGTTGAGGCCGTTCCGACGCTGGTTGTCCGAGATGTAGCGGTCACCGAACTCGTCGCCGTATCGCACCAAGTTTCCTGACAACATGTCACGTCAATTCATTTGTATTTACACTCTAATCCTGACAGAAATGTTGAAAGATATGTGGAAAATAGATGGTTTTCAAAAAATTGTAAATACGTTAAAATATACACGACTACGTCAAATCATGACGCATTACTTCTCTTCTGTAGTTAACAGCTGTTGAAGAGAATGTGCTGCAGACACCATGGCCATTGAAGAGGAGCATAAGATGGCTCTGTCTGGACGCTGGGAGTCGGATAGTTATGGAAAGCCTCTCCCTAAGGAGAGTTTACGGAGGTTACAACAGACCCATAGAAGAGACCACCTCAGAATGGTTTGTTGTTCACATGGTATTCGTTCATCGTTAGGATTCAATGCAGATTTTATTTCCACAGATTTATCAAGTATCACGCTTTTATTTTACATTTCTTTCACAACGCACACTTCATATGCATTTTTTCCTGATAGGCTTGCAAATAGGATAACGGCTAAAAAACAAAAATTGGAAAAAAAATCAAACCAATTAAAAAATCAAGTTAACTCAAAATTAAGCCAGCTCGATACGACAACAACGACGCCACTTTGTGAACACGAACAACTGTGGAGCATCGACTCGGATCATCGGCTTTGATGAAGACAAAACCGTCGAAACGTTAGCCGAATAAAGATCGTATATCAACCTCGCCTAAGCTCAACAGTACATTTTGATTAGCCGTGCAGAGGTTAAAGGGAAGTGGGTTTCAAAATATTGTTACACACTTTATAATTCACAATAAACATACATATGATAAATATATTACCTAACTATATAACTTTACGGTAATAACTAACAGCAATAAGGATAACAATAACATTTTGCAATTCTAGCCTACAATCAAAATCAATGGAGGTAATCCAGAGATCATTCGTACATACATGAACGCAGTTACAACCCTTACGTAGGACACACAGTTCTTGGGATAACAATGCTAGGTCGCTGCCTGATCGTCATTAGAGATATTTGTCAGCTTTTGCGGACTGGAGAGAACTAGCCGATACTGGACGAGTCTGGTACTAAATTCCCGATCTTGGAGGGATGGAAAGCTTCGTGGGTCCGAGATGGATCGAAGCAGCGCCTTCCTCGCAGCAAGCGACATCATCCAGTGCGCTACCCACTTCGTGGACATAAAGTGGTTATGGGTATTCTGTTCGTGAGCGATTCTGAATCTTCTCAATTTCCTTGAAGGGGAATACATTAGATCGACTTCTTAACAACAGAATTCAATACAATTTTTCTCTGGCAATGTCCATTTATTGCGTGATTCACAGAGAGTTATGGGCAACGCCGCTACCAACGATGTTTTCACGTTATTGGTCGGCAGTCGTTACGCAATATATCCCCAGCTAGGAGTGTTAGTAGTGATGTTGATGAAATCGAATGAAGAAGCTTACGACATAGGGGACTTTCAGAAGAGGTCATCATATACCATTGTCGTACATTTCTGCTATGGTGTAAAATTTGACGGCAGTACAGCAACAAGTATCCCAGGGAAAAAAGTGCTAACAAACCGTAGTTCGCTGATAAAATACTGAATTGCTCTCCGAATTTTACTTTTCAGAGGAAATCATGTGCCACGATGGTCAGCAACATCTAACAGCCATGAAAACCTTTTACCGCTGTTCGTTGTAATAGTGTGGAAAATCAGAGGTGCAACGAAAACTGATGTCAGCATCGTTTCAGCATCAGGCCAACCCTAGGTGATATACAACGAAACAAAAGCAAAGGATTATTTGGTTTGAAATTTCGCCATCTCAAACTGATAACTTTCCCCACAATAATTGATTGGTGAAAATACTAAAAGAATAGAGTTACTCAGAAGCATAACTGTCGACAGCTCGCGTACCTTCATATTCAGTGAATGCATCTGGATTTGAAAATCGAACATCTCGAAACTGTTGAATTGGTTTGATCTGAAACCAGAACGCACTCATTGGTAGCTAGGAGCGAGAAATTGCGGTGGGCTGATGGCAGACACCTGTCTAAGGAAGTCCTGCTGGCTCTGTTGGCCAGGCAAGAACTGAGCCGTGGAGGGTTCTACGACGAAAGAGAAAAGAATCAGTAGTTGGCAACCACTGTGCATGGCGACGGTGACGACTGACTCAGCCGACGGATAGCCGCCCTCGAAACGTCGCCGACGCCGTCGCCGTCGCCGTCGCCGTCGCCGTCGCCAATGATTCACTCATTGATACGATACAGCACAGAAGCGACGGCTCGACGTTTTCGTCTTGGAAAACTAGCGGCCGACGAAAACAGCTAACAGCTCCTCGTAAAGCTATTCCTGCCCTACTAGCACACCAACACGAAAGCATCAGTTAGTTGCCATCTGAAGATCCAATGGTTACTGCTCCTATGCCATCCAGTGTTAGACTATTTTCAAACTGTTTTCTATGTGACAGACCGATTTTTAGCCTTTCCACAAAATCCGTTCAGTGTTTGTTTAGGTTTTTTATGCGGCAGAAGCCGAAGAAATCGATTTTTGCCCTCAACTTTCATGTGTGCTAGCAATATAATTATAACGAGTCAGCTACATTGTAGCGTAGAAAATCACTTGTAATTCCTCTCTTACTTTCTTCAATCATCAGTCCCAGTACAGTAACCTGGTCATATTCATATAACAATTTCATCCAGACAAAATTAACGTAGGAACTTAAAGGTGGTACGAAACGAGGGTTCAGGGAAAGCAACCAACAAAAACCGATCCTTCATAGGAAAATACTTGTGCATTTTGAGTTAACTTGCTCGAGAAATTATCTTTCTCCAAAAATTCTATGTCATATTGCTCATTTTATGTACATAGAAATGCGATTTACTTGTTAGAAGTTGGTCTGTTTAGTTGTATAACAGAGAAAGGTTTCTTGTTACCGTCATCTTCCATAAGAGTTTTATGCTACTACAACTTCAAGCAAGTGCTCTAGCATGTTGAACACGGTTGCACGGCTACAACGAGATGATCAGCTCTTCTTGAATATCGCCATGACCAGCCCTCATTTGTGTCATGTTGAAAGTCACTTCATCGAAAAAGTGCGGCAGCGACTACTTATCAACTACTTCGAGAAGTTCCAGCACATTTTGGTCAAGATTCCAGAGAAGCTCGATGTTTAACAATTTCATTAACTGCCTATTTTTATTCACAGCTGGGTATTAGGTGAAATACAACGCACGTATGTCCCGGAAAATGTAGTCGTGGGTTCGAAGCCCACCTGAGGTTTCGAGTTTTGCTCAAATATCAGCATGTTTGTGGTTCTGTCTCACATCATACTCTGCTATGAAATAAAACATAGGCACTAAATAAAAAACTTAAATATTGTGAGAGCGAGAACTGTTCTGAAAAATATGGAGAAAAGGCATGGAAAAAACAACAGAAATAAAAAACGGAAGAGGAAATAAAAGTTGAAACATTGTCTTTAAAATGTCGAGAAACAATGACAGTTAGTAGACTTATGTGATTAATCCGCGTTAAACCGAGATCCAATGACACAGCGGAACACCTGTGTTCTTTCAAGAGAAGATCCCACTAGTTAACTTCATTGGCAACGATTTTTGAAGGAGCAATTTCGCCGACTACCACTGTAACTTTTTGGTGGGATATATGCACGAAGAAAATGCAAAATCACAAGTTTAGGTTAAATATGAAAAGAAAAAATCATCCTGTGTCGATTCTCATTTTACACTTTGAGAAGCCCTACGATCATAAGCTTACACGGGGATTGATCACATTATTTAGAACGAGAAATACATCACATGTAAAAGAAGAAGATGTAGAATCATTCCTCCTCACCATATTCAATTACTGTCTTCACAGTGGCACGTGTGGCGCGCTGGTTAAAGGTGGCTTGCAACGTATTATGCTGTATCAATCGCTAGTTCGATCGTGCACCTCGAGCTGATCATCTCTTTGAAGCCGCCAGGACTTCTCTAGGAGAATGGCAATATTAAATTAATACATCGAAAGGAACTCGTGTAGCGCAGAGGTTGGAGGCGTCCTGCAATACACATCGTTTCAATCGAGCTCTCCAAGCTCACCGAATCCCGTGGGAATGGCAAATTGGTACCAAAGCTGTCCGAGAGGATAGCAGCAGTGACCCGACACATTGACAGGCCACCAAAAGTCATTTCACAAGTCAAACATGCGTTAAATCACTTCTCACGTTGTTTAACGAAGTCGAATGTATGGAGCATCCTTCAAAGATTCGTCAAATCACACCTTTGTCCTCTATCCTTTTAATACATCGCTAGGTTCTCTATTTCAAGGGCAATATTCTCTACACGCTTTTTACCTGTGCCAAAAAAGAATCCCTGAATTTCAAATTCAAACTAGATTCTAGATCAGATTTAGAGTACATCAATGTGCGGTATAGATTACCGCTTTTATCAAGATATAATTTATTAAAGACTTAAAAGAGTACAGAAACCATATGGACTAAAACAAAAAGTTCAGGGCGGTCAGAAACATGAACTAGGTTTTCTATCAATGGAGACGACGGCAAAGCACTTACATAACAGCAGAGTCGGTTGCACGCCTACACTTAATTCCACCCATGAAACGTTTCAGCGTTAGATCTTTGAATGATGGAGCGATTCGATGTCCTATAATTGAAAAACACATGAAAATCATCGATTTTTAATAAGAGAGCAAATAAATACCGGTAATTCTTCTTTCTATCGGTCCAAGGACGTACGTACTTTCATAATGTTGCCTTCACACAAAATTTACAATTTATGTAATGTAAGCAGGCCAACCAATCGTCAACACTGACGTAGAAATTGGGGAGACTATGGGTCCAACTAGACGAGATTCAGGTACAATCACAATGATGCTCAGATATTTGCCAAATGTCGAAGCGCAGGCGTCTGCTGTGGGAAACAAAAGCGCTATTACCCGTTCCGTGGGCTAACGCGCTCACCACCACACCATGCGGGTCTTCCCTTCCTTCAGTTAGTTTTTCTATCTATCAGTGCCATCAGCAATCAGCTACCAACTACAAAAGGCGAAACGAAGGAAACGCATCGTGTGGTGGTAAATGCGGCAGCCCCGGAAAGGGTAATTAATAGCGCATTCGTTCCCCACAGCAGACACCTGCGGTCCAGAGTTTTGCGCATATATAAGCATTGTTGCAGTTGTATCACACGCTCAATGAATGAAGCTTACTATGAACTCAAATGTAGTCATTCAATATCAATATGCCGAAAAAAACTGTAATGGGCAGTAAATAAAAAGTTAACATCCTGAAATCCAGATAGTTCAACAACTCTTCGGCTTAAAATATGAGAATTGGTGAAATAGCAGGACCAAAATCTATTCATGTATTCCAAAAAATGAGAGTTTATTCCGTGAACAGTACCTTCCTGGCAAAGATCTCAAAATCTTAATTAGACTTAGCTCAATGAACGAAGCTTACTATGAACTCAAATGTAGTCATTCAATATTATTTAATTACCTATGTTTTAGGGATGCCAAGCAATGGGTCGTTGGATGCGAGTTCCGCGTAAAAGTGCCGACGGTACCTTCACTTCGCACAATCAGCACAGTAAGGTAGCACCACAAGTGCGACTGATTGACTACGAACTTTACCGTTACATCCGCGGTGCTGTGATGGACATCATGCATGATCCAGGAGCTGCGTTAGCCATCATTGCTTTCTGTAATCTATACAAGTACAAGGTTCTTAAAAGCACCGCTATGACTGCTTAAGGCATGCGCACTGAGCAGTTCGTTTATTGCGGTGCCAAAACTAATATAGAAGTTGAGAACATTGTCCTAGTTGTTAGCTGCCTTCTTGAAAGGACAGCTATCTGTAATGTTGATGGGAAAAGCGGTGAACTTCGCAGGAAAGCTTACAAAGTACTCCGGTAACTACAATTATTCAAATTATTTGTATGACTGGACAGCTCACCTACATAAGCTGTGCGATACACAGCACATCTTCCAACTACTGCATTCTCGGGCTGTCGCTCGCATGGTGATGTTCTGCTTCGAGCACTTCGAACACGAGGGTCCTACAGGGACATCCGTTGTAATCCACTCAAATATTCCTATCATCCAGCTATCACGAACTGTTCACATTATATGACTGGTCTGCCAATGCTTTTCTTGCGCATTCCTCCCGAATCTCGGAAAGAGTAGCTTTTCAAAGACTGAAATCAGTATGTATTCTTTCTTTGATGAGCTTACACGAAGTTGATAACGATGTTTATTTTCGGCTAACGTTTCGACGTCTTCGTCTTCCTCAGAGCCGATGATTCGAGTCGATGGTCCTCACTTGTTATTCGCCTCGACGTGGCAGCTTCTCCTTCGTGTCGAGTTAGGTCTTCTTCAGTGAGCCATCTCCTCGAATGAGGCATCCTTACTCAGTGATGCCCTTTTATACACGTTAGCCCGAAAATAAACATCATTATCAACCTCGTGTAAGCTCATCACAGAAAGAATACATATTGATTAGTGATACCGAGGTTCAGGGAAAGTCGGTTTCGAAATATTACTGAAATCAGTGTTCCACTAAGTTTCCAATGTGCTCGATGTCTCAGCCGAAGCCTCTGATTCATAACGAATGATGAGAGATCGTTGGATAGAAAAAATGAGCACGGAGTTTCAGGTCCTTTAATTGAACGATGGCTTCAAAACGAATATAGTTTGTGGTTTTCAGTACGAAGGAAATCCGCTGTGATGTCAATTAAACTTAGAGCTATGCCTCTTAATGCTCATTATCGTAACTCCGGCTTCACATGGTTGAATCCCAGATACTTCTCAAGCCGACTTTCCTTTAACCTCGGTATGAATGACCAATGAACTTTCTTTCATTAATGAGATAAGATGAGGGTGATAAAATAAACTTCATTTGGCTAATCTTCCGACTTTTTCGTCTTCCTCGGAGCTGATAATCCGAGTCGATGTCCACAGTGCTACGTACTCTTAATGTGGTATCTTCGCTGTGGTATCGAGTCAGACTTTCTTTAGTGGAGCACCAATCCAATTATGCAATCTCACCCAGCGATGATCCTATATACGGGACGGTTTGTTGTTGACGTTGATTGTTCGGTGATAATCCGGTGATAATAACTTGTTTTTCGCAGACATTCCATCTATGCCTAACAATGAAGGAACACATGTTGATTACTTGACTGAGGTTAAAGGAAAGTTGGTTCTTGAAACATTGTTATGCTACCTACCAGCTGATAATGATACCGACTTCGGAAGGATGGAGTGTACGAAAAAAATAAACTATTTCCACTGGACAACCATATCAACGACAACTGTCCTGTGTAAACGAGCACAGCGCGGTGGATTGCCTCATTCGAGCGAAGCTCTACTGAAGACGATCCCACTCGACACGACGGCGAAGACGCAGCATCGAGAGTACGAACGAGTGTGGGTAATCGACTCGGATCACCGTTTCCAAAGAAGGTGAAGACGTCGAAACGTACCCCAATGAAGTTTACTTTATGAACATCGTGTTAAGTCATCAATGAAAGAAGATACAATGAATCCTAGATATTTCTTTCTTCCCAGCAGAATATCAGAGACAGAGTTGTTTTTCCCACGATCGACATTCTGTTAACCTCGGCATTGATCAAATAATTCTCTACATTCTTGTTGAGCAAACATGTGGTGTTACTTTATCGCTTATTACGGTATAGCTGGTAGCTGTACTCTACCATAGTAAAGAATAAAGTAACACCTCCTGCTTGCTTAACAAGAGTATACAAATTTGTATTCAATAGTATATTTGCAGAATCTTAGCGCTACCGCGCTACCCACTTAACTTCATTTGGCAGTTTGTCTCTCTCAACCTGTGCACGTCTCCTTGAAAAGACTTTCTGCACCTGGAATTTATTATCTATCGTGATATGTATATTTAATAGGACCAATCAGTTGCTCTTCTTCACGGTGAATTCTTTCACAGTGGTGCAGATGCGTTCTGAACTTGGTTTAAGCACTGAACGGTGTTTGGCAGAACATTTTAGCTCTCAGACTAAAGGGTCGTTCTCAGTTCGCCTGCGAATTTAAATTTGGACGGCTAAATTATTCTAGTCCACATATGTAAGATGTATGGCCAATGCACATCGTTGCGAATATGCTAAAAGACTGTAGGTTACGTTAATTAGAAAGGAACGTACGTTAATTAGAAAGGATTGATCCGATGCACCTTCTCAGAACACCTCATACACTCGACTTCAGTCGACTCGACACTTCGGGGGACGAGCAACAGAAGACTTCTACATGGAGTGAGAACTACTTAGCTACCACAGACTATGCATATAGTAAAACCGTGAACGAATCCTAAGTCTTCAAGGACTTAGAGTAGTGCGTCTGGTCACAAACTAATAATTCTTGTTATTTATGCACCAAATAACTTCGAAAATTTGCCCCCCCCCCCCCCTTTTTATCCATTGATGTTTCATCCCATTAAACATTTGTATTCAAAAAAAATTAAACTCCCCTCCTGATGCTATGCTTTCGTTACTCATCGGATTTGGAACTGTAATGGTAAAATCGACGAAATCACTGTTAATTGGCTGATTAAGCTCAACGAAACATGAATGGTGTTTCTTTTTTTAACTTGGCTAATAAGCAATATTAAGTCTGTTGCTAAAACTTTCAGTTGAACGACAACATTCTAAGGCCACAAAGCAGAGCGTCCTTCATCACTTCGTTCAATTAGTCACCAGAATTCCCATGACCGACTTTCTGTTAACCTCGGCATTAATTGATAATTCAATGTTTTTCATCAATAAGCAGACACGAGGTTGTTAATATAGAATTTATTAGAACACAATTACTGACGTTTCGGCGGTTTCGCCTTCTTCAGAGCCTGGAAAGGTCAAATTGAGATGCGATCTACTCAGCCAAACACTTTCATAACCCTAGCAGCTAAAACTTGATAAATCGATTTGTGTTCGCATAAGAAACAGCTTCATTCAAACACCTACCGTTTATTTGTCGTAAGTATTT